ACTGTAGTTAAGCCCTACTAGTACTCAGATTTTTAATACATGCACTTAATTTCTGTTTACTAGTACACAAGTAGACTTCACTAATCAAGCAAAATCGTTGACTAGTATATCATTTTATGTTACTAGTTCTGCTAGTAAAGCTATGTGTTTTTACCAGTAGCATAAATTAAGTTTACTTGTGCTACTAGTAACACAAAATTGTCTACATGTTGACAATTTTGTTTTACTAGTAAGGTCTTCTTGCACACTAGTGCGCCAAAAATATTTACTGGTAAAACATAATTTTGCTTTACTAGTACTACTGGTAAACTCCAAATATCTCACTAGTAGTACTAGGAAACTGTTCAAAGATAACTTGTGGTACTTGTAAAACAAAAAAAAATTACTGGTAGCACTAGTAGACCAAATGCAAATGAAGTAGGAGGGATAATAAGCAAATCCAGCATCTTGATTTATTGTAATATTTTCCAAAGCCTATGGGAAGCCAGAATTTGCTGTCCCCCACCCTCTTATTAGCATATTAGGTTTACTAGTAGTACTAGTGAACATTTTTAAGCCTATGAGTACTACTAGTAGACCCAAAACTGTCTACTAGTAGTACTAGTAAACATATTTCAGTCTACTAGTAGTACTAGTGACACTTTTTGCTCCACTTGTACTACTAGTGACTCTTTTTGCTTCACTAGTAAAGTCTTCTTGTGAACTAGTTAACAAAAAAAAAAACAAAAAAAACTAGTAAACAAATATGGTTACTAGTAGAGCTTAACTTCAGTTGATATTACTGATACCAAATTTATGCTCAAACGGCTTTCCATATTTGAAAATGTTGGCTATCCAGCAATAGCTAGTGTTCCAGCTGTGGTTCAACATTAAGTTTCTAGTCCTGAGATGCAACAGTAGATTCACAGCGTGACTTCGACGTTGACTCAAGCACTGTTTACAAATGCACAGCACGCAAGCTCGGCTAGATTTCACAAACATGCTTAAACGCCAAAGCTCCATGTGTCCTATATAGTTACCACTTCACTACAGTTACACCGAGCCTCCTTGATGCATGATTTAACGACTTTGAGAGCTCTACTTGTGGCCTTGTGTTTGTAGCTGTAGAATCATCAGTGCTGCAGTTAGCAGCCTGAAATGATGACAGAGGAAGGATCTCACCCTCGGTTACAATTGGACACTTGTTGCATCGTTGCACCGATCGTTCAAAGTGTTATTAGTGGTCTTTAAATTGTGATTGTGAAGTTTTCAGCCCAAATCTCGTTACCTGTGTCACTCTCAAAGGTTTTTTCCTCTGCAGAGCTCCGGAAGCTCATTGACGATTCGCCTCTGAGTCGTGGGTGGAGACAGCGCTCCTCTGCACACTCCTCCTCACCTTAAATTGCAGCCTGGCATTGCCAGTGCGCGATATATGTATATATATTTTTTTGTAGGATGGTTGGGGGAAGGTCCCGCCCTCCTTCGCCTCTGATTGGCTAGAAGTGCTGGGCTGCGATTGGTTATTCCTAATGGCTGTGAAACGTCATTGTCTTTCGGGTTAGGGTCAGGGTTAGGATAAGGGTAAGGGTTAGGGTTTGGAGATTCAGAAGTGCGATAATGTTCTGTAATGTTCTGTTCGGTGAACAACGCTCGGCTTGAGCGTGTGATGTTTTTTTCCAGCTCTTCTAGCCAATCAAAGGCGAAGGAGGCGGGACTTTCCCCTACCACCTTACAACAACAACAACAAAAAAGAAGTATTCAGAAGTATGCAGTAGTACTCAGAGATGCAATTTTGCACTTAGATTTCTCATGACATGTCCTGTAGCATTAGAAAAATGTCATATGAACACATAGACAACAAAAAAAAAAAAACAGGATGGGTCTTAAAGGCAATTCAAAAACACAGGAGTAGGCTATGTTGTCATACATATAGGTCATATTGAGGTCACCAAATGAATTTATTTAATTTCTTAAAAAAGGCTAAAGCCAGAGAAGGTTCTGAGCGACAGCCTTTCCAGAATATGCCGGAATTAATGCTGCATTCACATGCCCCTGCAAAGACTGTATTTTCACTCCTGGATTCTGAGTCGTTCTTCCAGCCTTGGTGTGCTCACATACTTAAAGTTTGGAAAGTCATATTTAAAGTTTCCAAACTGTTCAATTAGGGCTAAAGTGCTGATAAAGACACAAATAAAACGTGAATTCAGCGGACATGTCTAATTTGGATTAAATATCTGATCATGCTGATGTTGTAAATAACTTTTCCAGGTCACTCCATGTGGACAACGATCATGGTAACTCTATATTACAGACTGTGTATATTATTGACATGTAAACCTATTTATCGGTAAAGTTCAGGCTTTTATTCCATGTTTAACTTCCCCTCTATGGACCGAATCAACCGCTCACCAACACTGACACAAAGCGTTGTTACAGTCTAATCTCTTATGGGAATTCCTCCTCTACGTAGGACAGGCATAGTTGTGGACACCAGGCCCCCTCAGGAGTTGACACTCCTGGCTGAGATCCCTGGCATCCACAGCTTCCTGATTACCAGCTGTCCCTGCCCCACTCTGCCTGTCAAATCCCAGTGACGGTGAAATAAACAAACAGTAAACAAAGGACCTAGTTTAGCACCATCACCCACCACAGCATGACAACAGGTTTGTCACTCTCCCTGGCCTGCTGCGGCTGACTGAACCACGCACTCACCACTGGAGGAGGTGCTGCAATCAGTGACAGACGCTTTGTCTATCCTGCCTCCAGACAAACATCCTAAGCCAAACCTAAAGTAAAGACAGACTGACTCAGACATGCTGCAAGTGTGTGTTTTTGGTTATTAGGTTGAGCAGAGAGCTGTCGCAGCTTTGCTCCGGCTGGAAGTTTTGTGTTTTCTCCCTCTTTTTTTTTCTCTTATTGTCTAAATCTGTGGACATCTGCTTGCTCTGGAGACAAATTCCCCTAACTTGAGACACACTAGCCACCAAGAGGAGAACACAGGCCTATTAATAGGCTTCCTGCTCATAAAAAGAGATGTGGCAGATCAGGTTTTTTGGGGGGAGTTTGATATGCATGTAATACAATATTAGTTCAATTGTGATGCACCGTCAGAGGCCCCCTCTATGGAAATCTGCATGAAATCACTGTCTGGGCAAAGCCGTAAATCACCAACAGGGTTGTTTATTATTGCAGTACAGTTTTATGGAGGGCTGGCGCTTTGTTGGGACGTCCCGGAGAGGAATGCCCAACAGAGGACCTACAAGGTAATAGCCCCCTTTATTTCCACAGGGGGGTTGATGGGAGTTCATAGTGGATCAGGCCTCTTGAGAATTACACGGTTCCTATAAAGCTTGATTAAAGCACAAGAACACCTATATGCAGAGTCTGAGGGTGATAAATCTCACCAAAAATCAAGGTTCAGAGAGAAAATGAAAGTCAGCCAAACAGACACAACCTAGCTCTTATTTTTATTCCCATCTGTTTTGTACGGGTAGTCAGAGCGGCTGGCCGACATGCCACAAAACACCCACTTTTTCTCTCACAAAATGTCTCGTCTGGCTGTCTGAGTTTGTCTGCCAGGTCCCTGAGCATCGGGAAAACTTATCAAAGAGAACAGACGTCTATTCTGTGCAGCAGAGAGAGCTCAAGACAGCCAGTTTCTCAGACACTACTTAGTCTTTCAGCTGTTTGGAAGTGGGAAAAGCACATTAGGGGTCAGTGGTAGCAGCCTGACCTGCCGTGTCCAGCTTGGCAGACGCACACGCCTCACCCTGGCCATCACTCCCACTCCATCTGAAAACATAATTGATCTGGATATTAAACGAGGCCGTGCGGCTTGAAATAAAATTCCACGCATGCTTAATTCTCCGGCGTGGTTTTGGAGGCCGGACACTTTCTTCCCTGTCCGGGTTAGCATTACATGCTGAACTGTCTTAACTGTGACCACCTCATAAAATCAGCCCCATAAATATTTTTCATGTGTCATTTAAACTAACGCAGCTCTCCAGGGCTTGGAGTATTTGATTTATGCTAATTATGCGCAGAGGCTGCTACATACATTTGGGTGAATCTACCAGAAATATTTGACCTGGCAGTGGCTGGCTTTTGGAAAAAAAATCTAGTATATCCAGAGATGAAATTAAACATTTCAGATGAATAAAAATGCAGCTTTAATCGTCATTATATAGTCATGTCATCATAATTTAGCCCTGTTAGAGTTTTGAGAGCAGCTTTCATGCAGATTTTAAGATGTGTGTGGGTGTGACTTTATGTTCACGGTTACCACCACTTGCTTTCGTAGGTACTTCTGTTATTTCGGACACAAAAATACAATAAAAAATGCCAAGTGCCAAAATTAGGTTTTAAAGGGTACTTAAGTATGAAAAATTGTTTTTTTGAAAAAGTTAAAATTAAGGTTTGAATAAATGATTGAGTGCTAAAACAGAAGGCTATCAAAAGTGTACGTACTTAAAAACATTGTAAAAATACATTTGAGCACCGAGAAGCTAGAGGACACTTAGGCACTAAAAAGTAGGGCTAAAAACATTCAGTATAAAACCTAAAAAATATAAGAGCAGTAAAAAACAAGATTTAAGGCTTAGCATCAAAATTAAAATTAGAAAGATTACAAATGAAAGTCCGGACTACAGAAAAATAAGTAACTGAAACTTAGATTTAAAGGTTTTGAACGTAGAAAAAGAGGCTTAAAATATGTTTCACTAAAAAAAATAAGCTCTAAAATAGTTTAACGCTTTTAGTATAATGCTCTAAAATGTTAAAGCAGTTAGAGGTTCAGCCTCCAAGATTTAAAGGAGGTAAATTAAGACTTAAAAAAAATCAGAGCACAGAAGCACAAGGCTTTGAATGGTTTGTATTGGAAAAAAAAAATAGAGTTAACAGCTATGAAAATGCGATCAAGCAAAAAAAAAAAAGAAAGATAGCTTTTAGTTGTGAACTCTTTATGACAACAATGTTTGATGTATCATGTTGTAGTTCATAAAAACAAATCAAAGAGCAAAAGCAACAGTTCACAAATCAGTTTTATTAATTTAAACACAATCAAATAATAATGTCAAAAACATCTGTACACATATTTTGCAGACACAACAATCTTTTGCATTTCACAATGAGGCCCGTGTAGTGTAAAGTATTTCCAGTTTGCATTTATGATTGCAACATAATAAAAAAAAGGCGTGCTGTATGAATCTATAAAACATTTCCCCTATTGACCTACCGTTACCTGGATCTAGCAGCAATATGTAGAAACCCCCCCAGAGTGTGGGGGGGAGAAGTTTGTTTGAGAAGATGAAGAGAGGAGAGGAGGCGGGTGGGTGGGTGTGGGGAAGTACGAGGACACCAAATTGAAAAGTAAAGGCCGACAATGATCATGTGCAAAGGAGGGAAAAAATGAGAAACGCGTGGAATCGGTTTCTGTTTAAGAAATTCACAGTCGATAGCACATGTCCTGTATGTTCACAAACCCCTCGAAGCTATAGTGGCTTTACTCTAAATGTTCATCATGGTTTTCTACCCACAGACGTAGAAGCATCATACAAAAGGGCTTCATGTGTTTCAGCTATTTCAAAGAGGGACACAGAATGTTCAAATAAAAACACCATATCATACAAAATTACGCTTGCTGTACAAGAGTTGTTATAGCGCTTGTATAAAAGATAATAAAACCTATTCAAGCCTGCTTTTTTAAATATTTGATTGATTTAAATTTGTCGTTAAAATGGCTGCCAGGAGGCATAAAATCACAACTTTTCACTTCCGCACAATATCAGAAACCCTTCAAATTAAGTTCGCCTCCAGATTTACGGGGTCAGGGCTGCAAGCTGGTGAAATGTTTTGAGGACAAAAGAAGTGAGCTACCTTTCTGAAACATAAAAAAAACAAACAAAGAAAACCCCCTTTTTCCCTTTAAAATATGAGTCTTAAACTTGCAGTAGAGGAGACCTGTTGTGATTGAAGTTTCCTGTGAGGACAAGAAAAATCACAGATTTAGATGAGAGCTCATTGACACTTGACATCCATGCTTTTGGTCTTGACAAAACGATTGTTCACAAAATCCTGTTATCTACATATTTGTTTACTGAACAAAACTCCAACACATCAACACTTTCAGGCGCCGCACAAGCTCCTGTGCTTTGGGATGCCTTTAAATTTTTTTTTTTTTTTACTTCCATGAAAAAGCGTTACCACCTTTCAAGATCACGTACCTAAATGAATATAGGAAGGAATAGTCCAGTGATTACAAACTTACACACACAAAAAAACTTCCTCTATACACGATTGTCTCAGCATTGTAAATAAAGTTTTTTGTTTTTTCTTAAATTATTAGAAAACCCCCTTTTTAATTTTTTTTTAATCCACGAATGTCCTCCTCTTACTGTTGTAGTACTCTGTAAAAGGCACGAGTCTTTTTGTCATCGAGGTACCTTCTCAGTGGAACGGTGCCACCCTTAAAGTCTCCGTTCATAAATAAGAAGCTCAGGACTCCAGGGCCGACAGAGAAGCAGTCGCTTTGTCTGTCTGTCTCACGACGGGGGGGGGGGGAGTCAAAGGTAGACAGACAGAGAAGGAGCAGGTCAAGAGTTGAAGGAGGGAGCCAAAGGGATGGAGAAATGTCACCACCAGTAGTCGTGCTCCTGTGTTTTTCTGTGGCGAGGCGAGCGAGGCCGTCAGTAGCTCTGCTCCCCTCACAGGTGTGAACCCTGACAGAGTCCTGGCTGAAACATGGGGCCGTAAAACACTTTGACAGCTTCAGAAAGCGGCCGATTCACAGTAACCAGGGCAAGCAGCTGCAGCGCCGTAAATTCACCTCTCTCCTTCGCTTCCAGATTTAAAACAAAAAAAAAAAAAAAAAGTTTCAGGTTAAGACAAAGTGTGACTGTATGTCAGCACATTAACCGTGTGCTCAGCCTCTTTTACCCCCATCCTCCTTCTCTTCTTTTCTTCCTGTGGAGTGGAAGACAGACGCCAGGCAGCACTGAGGAGGGGTGGAGGAGGTGGGTTCTGCAGGGACTGCAGTAAGCGTGGGATGGAGCTGCAGGGTGAAGGTGAAAGGTTGCAGGGTGTTGCTGAAGCACAGCCAGGTAGGCGGAGGTGATGTAGTGCTACAAGTACTCCAGGTCTAGAGCATGGTGGAGGGCCATGAGGTCTGAATGGCTGGAGATCCTCCAGAAGGGCATGTTGTGCTGTGGGACGAATGAAAACACCACATTATGTAAAGCTATTGTTCAAAAACACAAATTATACACAACTTTGAGGTTGAAAAAAGAGGTCATTGATAAGTCCCAATGATAAAGACTATGAATATTGCTGCATTTGAGTTACCTCAGAAGTCACACCCGAGTTACCGGCGTTTCAGTTACCAAGTTGGAAAAAATCAAAAGTTATTTTAGTGCATGTCTTGTCTGAACATAACATGAAGAAGGAGAACGCTAAAATAACTTTCGTAGATGTAGCCATCTTGTTTCCGACTCCGATTTTGCTTTTTTCCGACTTGGTAATTGAAATACTGATAACTCAGGTGTGACGTCATTTTCAGCTCTGACATCTGACTTCGGAGGTAACTTGAACGCAGCATAAATAGATAAATTTGATATTTTTAAAGAAAATTTTCAAAAACCTTTGGTTCTAATACCACAAATGTGCAGATTTGCTGCTTCTGTCCATTTGCCGTTCAGCAAACAACACTAAAAAACCTCAATACCATTTAAAGGCATATTTCACTCTTTCCTGACACATTGAAGGCATCATTATTATCATTTGCATCATATGCGGATGCTCTCGAGACACACTAGCCAACAAACTGAGTGAATGAAGTAAATCCTGTCCACTCACCAGGAAAAATGATCGTTCTAACATGCCCTGACTCCTCCTCCAGCTTCCTACTGTACATATCAGTGCAACCAAATAGCCCTCCTCTGCATCCTAATGTACTTTAACTCCAACAAACTCATCCAGCTGCTGTCTTTACCCACAGCAGAAATAAATTTCCCTCAGTGTCTCCAGTGAACCTCCAGCCCGTCTGTGTGTGTGTGTGTGTGTGTGTGTGTGTGTTTAGGACAGTGCAAATGAGCTGTTGTTCCTCAGCAGAGGACAGAGGCAGAAACCTGAGAATCACAGAGAATGAAAGGAGCCTGTCAGGTAGAGTCCTCAGCTCCTGGCTGTGTGGAGCCCATAACCCCCCTCCTCTTTATCAAAGGTACGGCCTCTCCCAGGCGTATGTTCCGCTTAGAGGAGCCTGCACTGACCCTTAAAAAGCTCTTTGCTTTTTGTTTTGTAAATTGTCTTTCCTTTTAAGTTTAAAAGCAGGAGATAATATCTCTGCCTTCTCTCCCGGGCGACGGTAATAACTGAGAGCAGAATTTTTTTTTTCCTCTTCCAGATGAAGGAATGAGGGCTGAGAGGACTTTAAGACTTTTGCTTTTGTAGTTCGCACAGTGTCACGTCTGATGTGTGCCTCCTGACGGCTGAAATTGTTGTGTTATTCCACGTCCTCTCTGATGTTGACACAGAAACCTTTTACCGCATGGCGTGTCGTGGGACTCTGGGCACTCAGACGGGGAAAAAAAAAAACGCCTTATCCTTCCATCAACGTCACGATCCGACAACTCAAGACTGAGTAAAAATATTTGCATCTTTTTTTTTCCACAATCTTCCCTCCGGAGCTTATTCTCAGGGTGTGTTTGCTTTTTCACAACACCGGGCTATTCTTTTACACACTCATCCAGGGGGAAAGGTTGCTACTTCTTCCCTAATCGCCGCCTAATCACTCTTCATCTGTCCTCGCGCTTCGACTCGTTGTTTACTGAGAAACAGGTGAAAAAGGAGCCGGAGGGTTTTCAAAGGGAAACTCCTCGTCTTCAGCTTGACGCTGTGGCGCACCGACACTGACAGTGAAATATGCTCTGATTAATTCGCTAATGAACGTGTTTGCTGTGTGCGGTATTTGGTTTACACTCAAACCTTGGCAGAAATGCTGAATTTACAAATATGGAAGCAGGAGCCAACAGGTACTGAGAAAAGTTCAGAGAGGGATCCTTCTTGTGCTCACAGGCTTGTGATTGCAGTAAATATTCTAATTCCATCAACAATGATTTAAGTCTCTTTATGTGCGCTCTGTTTACGACATGCCTCAAAGGGCCGGCCTAGCATTACACACACAGCATTCACACTGCTCAGGGCACAGAGCAGGGATATATAATTATGCCATCTCTCCCCTCCCCTGCTCTGTAAACCTGAGCCGGCGGAGGAAGAGCGCTGATTACACACTACAGACTTTCTCTCTTGTACTTGGACGCGCTATAAGAGGATAAAAGAACGAAAGAAAAGTAAGACTGTTGAGAGGCCGAGCCAGAGCGCTGAGTCCTTTCTTTGGAGCGGTATGGCAGGTATGTTTTGTGTTCTGCAGTGTGAACTCCTGCCCTCGCAGAAAGTAAAAACAGGTCCAAACATTATCCTTTCTTCTAGCTTTGTGTACTTCCCACCCAATGACCCGACGTGTACGCAGGCTTCTTACCTTTTTTGAGCCTTGCTCCTCTTCCACGCCGTCTCCAACAACAATGTAAACAACTTTCCTCCCGAACCTTTGAATTACTCTCTCGAAGCAGCTCTCCTTCCCTGCAGAGGAGGTCGACAACGGGATGTTAGTGTATTGGATGCACGCAGATTTCCCAACAAACAACATGAAGCTTATTCAGAGGCACAGGGTGACAAGAGCTCCTTTAAAAACACCCCACATGCACAAAATAGTGCAGAGTGTAAACACTTAGAGCCCGGAGAGGAGATGTGATAAGATCAGCTGGGAGATAAAGCCAATCTGAAAAGCATTAACTCTGCCCTCCTGCTCCTCAAACACGGGACAAATGCTCTTAAATCAGTTTAATCACTTTTGCATGCTGCAGGGTTTGGTTAGGAGGACCGGTGTGCTTAGCGATCTGAGGAACCCTGAGCTGCACTCAGCTCCAACTCAGCACTGATGGGGCCTAAAAACGGTGCAGGAGTGAAGCTCGATGTTTATTTTGCATTTGAAACAGTGAAGAAAGGGAGGAAAAGAGGAGGCGGGGGGGGGGGATGTTGCTGACATAAATGCGCAGAAGTGGTTTCATATGCAGAGGCTGAACAGGAGAGGCCTGCAGAGGCCCAGCAAAGGCCCAACTCCAGGAAAATAATCCCTGTCTGATTGGGTAGAACATCAAGCCTCTCTGGTGACTGAATCTCCCACCCAATCCACGTCTCTGACCTGTCATTTGGTCTTATTTGTTTTCACAGTCACCAAGCCAAAATAAAAACCACTCATGTCCTCAAAGTAATAATTGTTTACACAGCGGACATTTTAATGGCAGTGTTTACCTATTTTGGTTGCACTATAAATATTCTCAATGGGAAAGACTATTCCCAGGCCGTAGAGCAGCACCTTCGCCAGAGCAGGGATGAGCTGCGTGGTGGTCACCAGGATATTCACACAGTTTGACCTGCAGGAGTGAGAGAACAGAGACGAACAGAGGGATTATTGGAAACCGCTCACAGGGAGGACAGAGAAAAACATAACAACACTACTGCTCTGAAAAATGGAGTCACATCTATGATCTGACTTTTCGTCCACAGTCAGACAAGAAAATGTGTCCAAAAGACAAATTGCTGCATTGGTGTTTTCTTTAATAGCTTGAGAGTTCGGAGTTGACTTATTTACACCACATGTGTGTTTTTAAAGTGCGGTAAGGGACTGGGTGCAATTTTCCTCACTGCAGTCCTACCTTGAGTGGATTAATGTTAGTGCTTTCAGTGCCAGTGTTAACCAGGAGTCCGTCAAGGCTTCAATTTCTGCTCGCAATTGCAACCAGGCTTCCCTTTTGGCTGGGCCCAGCAGACCTGAAAGGCAGGGGAACATTGTTTGGGTTGGACCTGCGCTTTGAAAATACCACTGAAATTTTCAAAATTTAACCCTGACCGAGCGGTGTGTGCTTTTAGAACACACACACACGTGAACATGCGCAGACTCTCACACTAACGCCCACATAATGATGGCACGACTTATTTCTACTGGACAGATCTGCTGCTCCTTGTTGGGGATTACCTCCGACATTATTTTTGTAGGTGGTGTAGATTTCTTTTACTCGTCTGTAGCGGAAGGCCAGTTTTCTCATCCAGTCCACGCCGCCCCGCACGCCCGTGGCCAGACATAGATTGGCACTGGTTGCCGCTGCGTGGAAACCATCAGCGCCGAAGTTATACGTACTGAGAGGAACACAAAGACAGAAACTGTCAACACAGGATGTTTTTGAGTTGAAACTAGAAAAGAGTGAAGTTCGCCCTCACTGGTCAATCAAGAATGAGTCAAGAGTGTACCAGCGCTGTACCTCAGATCCTGGCCGTTGTCGTCAGAGGACACGTCGTCGATATGTACCTGGTCACACTCCTGAAACACAGAAAACATACAACTTAAGTCGCTGAGGATTCAAAAACTCTTAGTTTCTCTCTTTTGAGGAGGAAGTACTTTTCCTCAAAAAACAACATATTTATTCAGGAATCTGCGCTTTGGCTGCGAGTCTCGGCCTTAATCCCTCTTCGCCTTGACTTTCTCTGAATCAGCCCCCCCATTTTCTCTTTCCTTCAGCAGCTCTGTCCAAACAGAGAGCTACCTCATCATCAGTGGGAAAGCACTGCCACCACTAGAGGGGTCCAAAGATATGCACACCCACAGACATAACCAATTAAGTCTCAATCTAGCAACTCTAAACACTCCCCAGGTTTGAATTTGAGCAGCTATTTCTGAAAGTACTGATATATATATATATATATACATACAGTAGAAGGATGTATGTGGGCTCGTTGGATGTATAAAAAGCCTTGGCACTAATGGCCTGTGCGTGTGCTTGAGTGTGTCTGTGAAAGAGTGTGTGTGCATCTCCAAACATATGTGCGCACTCCTCTTCCCCTGTGGGGGTGCCGGGCTCCTCTTGGAAAGGTAGAGGGATTCTGCAGCTCTGCAATGATTCCACCGGTACACGGTAACACAATCCAGACTTTCTGGTAAATGTAACCTACTAGAAAAATTGAACCTGATGCTAACCGCCAATGAAATTATGACCTCTGATTGCTGCTGCGCCACACACCAACACAGCCCCGGGGCCAGGCAGCAGGCAAGAGAGCTCAGGAGAAAGCAGACTGAAAATCTGTTATTAGTTTTCCATTTATAGGAGAGCGCTAGTGCCTCCCCTCACTACCCCCTACCCCTCCTCCTCTCTCTGCCCTCTCAGCCAGCTTGAAATGTGAGGGGAGTCCTGCATTGGCATTCAGATCAACACATCGCACATGTGACGCAGCAGAGAAAAACTAGCTACGCTTATTTTTGCTCAGACTCAAAGCAAAAGTCTTTCTAAAGGATGTGACGACAAACCCTCTTCTTATCTAAAAGAATTTCTCTGAGTTGGAAATTTGTTGAGTAACCTCCAAAAGTTACCCTCACCTGTTTGAAGTGAAGTGAGGAATAATAATTTCTTGTGGAAATTGAAACTAGCAAGAGAAAATTCCTCCAGCCCAGAGTTGGAAAAATCCCTCCAGATTTTTTAACTTTTTAATTAAGTTTCATCCGGTTGTTAAGACACCAAAACACAGAAAGGACTTCCTTGTTTTAAGTCAATCTAACTGATGCCAAATGCTGACGTTATTGCATTCCTCTCTAATGCCGGAGCAGGGTAAGGGTAAGGGCTTTGGACTGTAAACCTTTTTTATTTTACTGGTTCCCCTCTGAACAAATTTTTCATCTCCCTGGATTTGTGGGGAGAGGGAGGGTGAGAGCGACGTGCGGAGAAACTCAAACCAGCTGTTCTTTAACAGAATTAAAATCTTGACCCCCAACCCCTGCTCTAATGCAGCCATTCTCTCGCCAAGCCTCTCCCAGCAAGCCCCAAGATCCAAAGAGGAAAAGACTTTGACCCCGTGACCCCTCTCCCCTCCCACTCCGGGGCTCCGGCACCCCGATAAGAAGGGGGTGGGAGGGGTAGAGAGGTGGAGATGGAGGAGAGTGGTGGGTTAAAGCAGGGGGGGAGAGAGTCAAAATGACCTCACATGGAGTGAGCTCTTAGCCCCACGTTCCAGGAGATGGACTGCCAATTGGAGACGGGCTTTCAGCACGGATGGTTTAATCTGTTTCCAGACACTCACCAGCATATCTCCAATATTCCAAGAAAGCAGCAATTTGTCCCGGCCAGACGATGTGCAGCCAGAAAACTTGTAGATAAATTACGATCACAAGTTACCCCAGAATACAGAACTGGAGTCACAAGTGTTGGTTTGCTTAATTCCTTAAGTAGTAGAGGCATGTCTGTTTGTTTAGGACAACAAAAACAGCAGCCTGGGTTAAGCCGTCTTTTAAAGACCTCCCATTCTGGTGCAAGTGAGTGGAATGCTCCTATTATGCAGTAATTACCTGCTGATGAATCACAGACAATCATTCCACTTTCACTTTGATGCAACCATTCAGCTCCACTTGTTTTCTGCATCACTGCCAAATTATATGCTGTCTCTCCGATAACAATAGTTCCTTGTGTTTATTCTTCTCCCTGTCATGTGTTTCTTTCAGAGTTTGACAGCTGGCATGGATCAACACACTGATCAGAGAGCAGTATTACTCTAAGCGTTAATTATGAGCCTACTTTAGGAGCGGGAACCGGGACTGGAGCGTGATCCAAACACATAAATATGTGTCAGTAATCAGACTGCGGTCATTAAAACTGCTGCTGATTATGAAAGATTTGACATGAACTTTTCCAAATCCTCAAAGTCAAACAAGTGTAAAGTGTCTGAACATTTAACAGCCAAGAAAAACACAGTGGAGAGTTTGAACACCCGCCTTTGTTTTGAGCTTGTCAGAAATAATGATTCTGATTAAACAGCTGAACTGCCCTTCTCTACCTCCAGATAGAAGTTACCGCGTGTGTGTGTGTGAGTGTGTGTGTGTGTGTGTGCCTGGCATAAAAAAAGGAGGGGGTTGGTTGGAGGAATGCGCAGACTCCAACAATTACGCTTCCCAGCTGGGGCTGGTATAAACCTCTGCACTGGCTTCCTGGGAGGACTGGAAAAGCTAATGGAGGAGGTGGCTGTGGGTAATGTCGTACAGTAACCCTTACACATTCTCATTAGTAGCCACTTCTGAAGGCCTCGTAAACACCACAGAGGCATGGATGCTGCAGGTTAGAGTTAGTTAAGTCCAGTCGTATAGCGGCAGTGGATCGGATGGAAACACAATCTGCGGGGTGATGAAGTTTACTCGCTGACCGACTCAGACAGCGTCCATTATTGCCGACTCACTGGAGCGCCTCAGAGAGAAAATAACATCCTGCTCCTATTTTGTTTGTGTAACGCCAACAATAGAATGACAGGCCTCAAAACGGTGGTACTTTGAGGGGCAGCTTGAGAAATTTCTTAGAACCTTTTGAACATCTCTTTTCCATCGAATCCCCCCGTTCTCCCCTCGCCAAGCAAACAGTGGTCTCTCTAAAACCTACAATCACCGCTAACTCGCACCAGATGTTCCTACTGTACTCAGGAGTGAAGACCCTCCACCAGAAGCCATCACAATTACTCCTTATGCAAACACTACATCGCTCTGTTAAATTCATCAGCAGCATTCTTCTTTTATCTGGATCTTCCCAGCTACCAGACCGTCTGTTTCTGTACAGGAAAAAAAAAAAAAAAAACACAGAAATGAACGAGATTGAAGACAGAATTCCTCTGCTTCAGGATGCTCCCTCTCTACATAATTCATTCTCTCTTCCTCTCCCTGTCTCTTTGTCTTTCTACTAGTCTGCTGAGGCGTCCTCACTGTAGGGGGAGTTATCAGAGCCCTCTTTGTTCCTGTGGCGTCTGTCATTAGGCAATCAGCGATGACGGCCTGAGTCTTCCTGTAGCCCTGGAAAGAGCTCAGAGTGGTGACTGCAGTAGTCAGAGGCCGGGAGAAGAAAGACAGGGCGAGTCACAAACGCCTGTTGCCAAAACACAGAAAGGATGGAGCTATTTAAACTCCGAGACCTGTTTTTCCCATGAAGGTTGAGGTCACCGTGTTGGTAGTGTCCATTTTTTGTCGTCCAGCTCAGCCCCTCTCTCTCTCAGGTGAGCTGTCAGGGTGGGGGTGGGTGGTCAGAGGCGCACTGTGAGCGATAACAGCCGTCATCACAGCATTCCCTGTGACCCTACAGGCTAATGCCATGTGAAAAAGGCTCATCCATGGTTCGCAGGTTCTCAATACTGCCACTGCACCGGCAGTGGCTGTCATCCCCCCCGCGGTCTGTGACCCCCAGCAACTTCCTTCTCCGTTCCCACCACAGGCACCCCTGTCTGGTGGGGGAGAGGAGCAAGGAGGGGGAGCTGTGATTACCTGGGGGTCAAACACAGGATGTGGGTAACAAAGGGAGAGTTCTTCGAGCCCACTTCATTCCTATCCACAATCTGTGCTTGAACAGCCACGGAATTCAAACAGCGGCGCCAAACAAAGCACAGGTACAGAGTCGTCCATGCTGGTCATACAGAAATTCACACGATCAGGAGGAGGGATCCAGAAGAAGCACAGGTACGCCTCACTCAGAAACGGTCTGAGACTTAATAAAGCGGTCTAAAGAGCATTCTTGCAGTGACTAGAAAATGTGGAAAAGAAAGAAACGCCCTGCAGGTAAGCAGTGAAAAATACAAATTAGTTATGTTTGATGGATGAGCCGCTTTTCACGTCCCCTATTTATGAGGTTGCAAGTCCAAACCACACCTGGAGGAGGGCGACGTTAAATACAATATCAAATCTCAGTCATTTCAGCATTTTCCCTCCTCGGCTCAGAGAAACTGTTTACTCTTGCCAAAAGGACTGTTGTTTGGACCGATCTCTGCAAGTTTCTGTTCACTCCTCCAAGGAGCACGCTGGGCAGGTGCTGTCACTCTGTCTTTAATTTGGGATAAGAAATGTGTTCTTAAATATCATCGTTTGTTACCAGACAGTAACGCTGTATTTTCCGTGCACCCTCATCCCCTATTGGTGCATGAACAGTCTGTGTTAGAAAAGTGTGGAGCGGAGTGGGGGCGTGGTGGAGCTCTGTGGAAGCAAGATTGACAGGGTGGCTTTGAAACCTTCATTTTCTCTCTGTAGTCTTTCCAAAACACATCAGTAGTCCCGCCTGGAGACGTGATGGAGTTATGTCGAGGAGCATGACAGAAGTGCTGCATCAGTGGCCAGGCGCATGATAAAACACCCACATCAGTGTGTGACCATCTGACCAAATAAACTCTGTGTGAAAAAGGCCTGTTTTGAAAATTCAAAGAAAAAAGGGATCGCAAATTAAGGGTTTCATGGTTTTTAACCGGTGCAGAGTTTGACGTTGCCATGGAAATTTTGGAATATAAATAAACATGAGTGCCAAAAAGCTAGAGTGTTAAATGGTACCCCGTCAACTGAATGACAGAATTTCCAAGTTCAATGAAATGAACAGTCAGCATCATGTTTTACCTTACTGGGAATAAAACCACAAAAAAACACTTTCAAGGAAAACACCATAAAGCTACCAATCATACGGAATGGTGAGTACAGGACCTGACTCTCTACAGTGGGATATAAAACCAGCAGAATGGCTCCACAGTAAGAGGCTCTGGAGGGCCGTTTCAGCCACGAGGAAAAAGGTAACCATGCGTTTCACAGCATCTCTCATTAACAGGCAGCCGCTGGGTGAGAGTGACAGAGGAGGTTTCAACCCTGTGACTGCAGGCTGGGAGCTATAAAAGGCTACAGCTCGCAGTGTCACAGGGTGACTCCACAGGTACATGTGAGGGACACGGAGAGTTTGCGGGTGCTTTTTTGACTGCTTAAAAAGCATGTGTTTAAACGTACGTATATGTGTGAGTGTTAAAACTATTCAGAGTTTGGAGTGCGTGTGCACAGCGTGGAGACATCATTGGACTAATTCAAAATGTTCCCACCTTTAGAGACCTCTCCCCCTTCTCTCCCTGTGAGTGCTTTGCCCCCATGCCCTTTATCCACCAGACAGGGAGGGTTGTTTTCTCACCCAAGGAAAGGGGGAGACGGCAGCCCCCCATACCCCACTGAGAAGGGAGCACAGGGGGCTCGGTCAGAGAGAGAGGCCCCCGGTTCCCACATACTGCTCGACGTTAGCGTTTGGGCCGCTGCAGCGCACCTACAGTAAACTCACACCCTGAGTCACAGCAGAGCTGTCAGTCTTCTCCAAGTGAGCTCAGCCTCAGTGGGCTTCATTAAACACATCACCGCGGACCATCAATTAACTCACATGACACAGAGCGAGCACCCGAGGAAGCTAATTTACTATTTGTCGAAAATAATGCATATTTACAATAAATCTAACTCTGTAATTTAGCCTTTAAAGTGTCCTTAAAATACACAAAACGGCCAAGCTCCTTTTTGAAATGTTACTCTTAAATACAATAAACCAAAAGAATTGAAGTTTGTAGGTTTAAATCAAAATTATTTGTGTTGGATTTATTCTCTCTAAATAAATAAATTTTAGTAATTTTTTAAACATTTTGGAGCCACTTGTGAAGTTTTCCCTGTTGTGGTTCATAAGACTTTCTTTTTTAGCCGTGCAACAGCCAAGGAAAATGTGCTACAACCACACGCAGACTCACAAACTACAAGACCTTAATTAAGAAAAGAGTGTTTTCTTTTTTTTTTTTGGTTTATGTTATAGTTTCTGTGTCTGAAGAGAACTCTTCAGGAAGGTGCAGTATTACAAGGATGCATTTTAGCCGAACAGTGCATGAAAAAAGAAAGCGCTGATCCAGAAAAGGGTTCGAGGAGAAAGAGAGAAAGAGACGTAAGGGTGAAACTGATCCCTGTTGACCCCTTCGGCATGCCCTCTTTCTTTTTATGACTTTCCTCTGAATCGTCACTCACCAGCTCTATCAACACGGCCCAGCCTCCACTCTCACACACGCACACACACTCTCTCTCACACACACACACACACACACACACACACACACACACACACACACACACACACACACACACACACACACACACACACACACACACACACACACACACTTCAACACATAATACACAAGAACAGAGTATTTGCTCTGGCTTCTGCAGGCTGAGCACAATATTATGCTTCATTGTGATTTGAAGAGGCTTGGAAAGGTAAAACAAAAAAAAAGCCTTGTGCATTGTTTAAAACTAATTAATTTATTCAATAAACAAGCATTCAATGCAAGGTCAATAAAAAGAGACTGCACAACTAGTGTGGCTGTGAGTTCATATTTAATGTTCTTGTGCAGAGACTGGCAGAACAACAGTGTTAAGACCTAGATGGAGCACACACACACACCACTAAGGCCACTAACTCTGCACCTGTGTTTCTGCACAGCCTCTGGGGTCTCCCTTTATGGCTTCGACTAAATTAGATGGACCATATGCATTTCTGCACATGCTTAAATACATAACTGCTGCTGGCTGCGGTATTTATAGTTGGACTCTATTTAGCTCTATCGGAGATGCAGGACTGTAAATCAGCAGAGAGGAAACACAACTGGTTAGGCATTGCTGAGAACTGGCACTTAACACTCGCAGCAGCCGAGCTCGTTTTAAGAGGAGAGATCAATACGCCTTCAAGAGAATGTCACTCCTCCTCTGGTGTGATTGTTAATGACAATCACTGCAGCGTCTGCAGAGAAAGCTTTACATTAGACGCTTGCAGCAGACCACAGACTGATATTTAAGTCGTAGAAATAGTCCAGTTTTAGCTGAAGACAGAAATCTAAAGCTTTTAAGTGTCAAAAGAAAATCTAATAATTTTGTCACTGAGATAGAGCAGAGGGACCCTATGTGTTTCATTCTTAAATGATTCTATAAGCAGCCGAGCTGCCAATTCGTCTGTGAACTGTTCCATCACACATGAAACGAAATCAAAACACAGGACAGATGTTGTGCAAAACCACATTTAAGTGTTGTCACAAACTGCCATCTTTTCAAATGATTGGGGCAGATCTATAAAAGAAAGCGCAGCTCCGATGGATCCTACATGGCCAGGGCATAAGGAAATATTTAACCAGCCAATTGCAGCCAATTAACTTTGATCACAATGACGGCGTTTGGAATCTCAGTCACTCGTCTGGGAGAGTATGAGCATTTTTCTCTGTCTCTCTTTCTCTGTTTTTTCACCCTCCTCCTTGGGTTTGTTTCATGTAACACAGCCGAACACAGTGGTGAGTAATGAGAGTTGGCAGACAGGCCGCAGATCTCTTCACACTTAAGTATCAAACAAAACATTTCCTCTACTGTGAGGTCAGCAGAAAGCAGGACAGGGAGGGAGAATGCACGGACAGTGGGATCACGTTCACTGTGGGACTCGGAGGAGGCGGTAAGGACAAAAATCCTGATGATAAAAGGTTCATGAAGTCATTAAAAGAACTTTAAAAAGAGCAAAAGACATGAGGAGGTGAGCTGCCTCGACTATCAGTAGAGTTAGAGGAGTCATGATTGTTCACTTGAGAGAAGTTTGCACTAAATATGTAGGCAAAAATGTGGCACATGCTTATAGTTTTAGCTCTCCCCAGAGTAAAGTAGACACTCAGACACCCCACCGTACACACACACACACACACTCTTGAACACACACCTCCCTTTCCTTGATCCCTCTATTCCTGTGCCCCAGGGGCAGATTTTACACCAGCCGTACATGAATCAGAGAGGCAAAGAGGCGTGGGAGGGGAGGCGGCGTGGGATTTCATGCTGTGACAGAGGGGTCTGTGGTGTGTGGACAGTGACACCGAGCACACAGTGTGACACACACACACACACACACACATGGATATACACACACATAGAGACACAGACACAGACAGAAACACCAGAGCCTGACAAATTGAGCTGGCTTCTATGGGGAGGGGGGGGGGGCAGGGCTGGTGACCCAGGAATGACGGAGACTGACAGCACATGTAAAATTCATGGTATCCCCTGAGCTCGGAGGTAATACTTCACCGCTTAGGGACATGATAACTGAGAAACAGGCGTCACGCTATGAAACGCTTGTTGCTGCTTTTACTGAAAACCTAATGGACTTGAGTTCCAACATAAAAACTCCTCTGACCGCTGATATCATCATTTGGTGAACATTAAGTGCAGTAAAAAAAAGATAAAGAGGGCAGTAAGAAACAGAAAAGTCATAAATGTACCTCTAAGTCATTGAAGAATAAGTGTGTGTCGGCCAAGTTGAAGATCATCTCCTCCATCCTCAGGCCTAGTGACACAGAGGTCGGCGGATCCTGGAAAACAGACAAAAACAAATAAATACCTTTCTTCTGAACACTGAGGTACGTTTTTTTTTTTCCATTTCAAAGAGTTAATGTGAAACAATAAATAACGCTGTTCCCTCTTAGTCACTCAATTAACGCTGAATCCCTTTTAAATTCCTCAGCAGGCCGTTCCCATAAAAGAAGACATTAGGCGGACTTGAAAGTTTGGGCCTCTGTTTACGACCCTCCAAGAGGGACCAGAATAGTCATCAGAAATGCCACAGACTTGAATGAATGCAGTAAAAGCATGTCTCTTCTCAGGAGGGGTGGTCGATTTGGAGGACTCGGGGTCATAGTCTCATCGTAAATAGCCCACTCGCTGCATATTTGTGCTGATGCATCATGTGACCGCACACTTTTCCCTTAAGCAAACAGGCTTAAGAGTTTTATCCAAATGTGGGATGAAGACATACATTTATGAATTTCCCTGAAACTGTGCTGTCTGTCGGTAATGTGACACGTGCTGTCATGATGATTGGGTAGCACTGTCTGTAAGATAACACCCAAAGAGGGGTGAACTGCACTGTTAATAGTTAATGAGTCTGTAACAATGTGTGTTATTTTCCCTTTAAAAAAAAGAAAGAAAATGCAAAATCGTAGATTTTTTCCTCCTGTATTAACAAATTGCTCCCTCTTATGTTTGTGTTTCATTGTATAATTAAACATAGACATTAATTAAATGAATGGACCAGCTTTGAGTCTTTTGATTTTGTCTCCTGCAGCCACAGAATGAAGATTGACATTTGCAGACTCTGCAGGAGGATTTCGTGCAACTGGTTGAGACAGCATGAAAGACCAGGCAGCACCAGAAGCGGGGATTACTAAGTTAAACCACCTAAGGACACACCTGAGCTTTCTCCTGATTAGCTGTCACACCTCACAATGCTTATGTTTTCACTAAAATGACAGGAGGACAAACCACACAAGTAGAGCTCAATCCCCACTTTGAGCCGCTTCCTCCTTCCTCTTCACCTCCCAGTTTGAATCAATCTTTCAGCCAGAATTCATCAAAAATAATTAGCTTCCCACATCAGCGGAGCACCACCTCCCTCTCTCTCTAACCTCTGCCGCTGCTCTGTGATTTAGCACCGTGGCTCGGTTTGGTGGGAAAGGGCACTCTTCTCCGGCGCGAGTGAATCCTTTCCAATTAAATCTAAACAATCAGTCAGTGAGGGAGTTAAGAATACAAGCAGGCCAGAAGGCCAAAGTGCTGCTGCTGTCATAGCTGCAGCACCACCTGTCCCGAGATGTCAGTGCCATCCACAGGGGCGCCAAGTCCCCCTCTCCACCACCTCCTCCTCCTTAACCCCTTACCAATAACAACCCCCCCACCCCCCATCCCCACCCACTTTAAGCTCGAGCTCTGGCCAGCCCAATAGCAGCACAGCTGGCCTCAGCCATCAGCTTTATGGGGGTGAGCTGCCTTGATGCCAATTAAAAGAGCTGATAAGAGCAGCAGTGTGTGTGCATGTGTGTGTGTGTGTGTGTGTGAGAAAAAAAAGGGGGAGTGGGTGGGAGGTCAGAGAGAGGGAGAGAAAGTGTGGATGCAAACACACTCAGATACACATCTATTTATAGTAAGTTTAGAGCTACGAGGGGGAAACGGCTTTGTAATTTTTTGTTTGTGTCCGTGAGACGGAGATGACACAGACGACAAAAGCGAGGGGAGGAGGAGGAGAAGAAGAAGGAGTTGTTGTGGCTGTGAGGGATGTTTGTGAGCTTCACTTTCTATCCTGAAGAAGTTTATAGATCTGTGATTCTGATAGCCTGCTTTGCGGTTGCTGTGTATAAGCATGCCTCCCTCTTAAAAATGTGATAAAGTCAGCAGGATGGAGCATGAGAAGAAGACAAAATTTGTTAAAAGAAAAAAAAAAAAGAAACTAAAGTGAAAAGAGAAGGAGAAAAAGAAGGAACAAAGGAGGAAAGAGAGAGTGAGAGCGACTCTTGCGGCTGTCACATCCTATATGAGCTCTGATGGAGCGGGCCCTTATGGAGTCAGGAGTGTTTCCTGTTTCAGAGGAGCACACTGGAGACCCTGTGTGTGTGTGTGCGTGTGTGTGTGTATATGTGTGTGTGTGTGTGTGGTTAGAGAGTTCCTCATCACTCGGCCACAGCTCCCTAAGCCTTAGCTCTCTTTACCCAGCATGCAGGGCTGAGAATAAAGTAAATAAACAGTGGAGGGTCGCGGGGCAGCCCTCTTTCACCCCAAAAACAAAACACTGCCCCCATCAAACACCCCTTCATACCAGAACAAAGGCAAAGAGCGCAGACTTCAGACACTAAGCTATCCAACATATGAGGAGCAATATGTCATTTTTGACTTCAAACCCAGACACCTCCAAAGCTGAAACAACTGGTGGTTAGAAACGCGAGTCCCAGACACCATAATATCAATATTAATGTTAATTATTTGTCTCTTTAAAAGTTGTGTATTTATGATTAGTTATTTTTATTCCTGTGTTCTTGTTTCAAATGGGAAAATAAGAGCGGAAGCTGCATTTTGAAGGCTATATAGAAACCTATGACCTCGACCAAACCATGAGAATAGGATTCAGCCTTATTTCCCAAATTGTTTGCTTTGAAAGTTTAAATTTAGAGAGGCAATTTACATGGAACAATAAATAGCAAAGCCTGGAAAAGTAAACTCTTCATTTTATAAGCGCACTCAGTGACATGGTAGGCGAAATGACCTAGTAGTATGTGTTTGTATGTGAATCTATATATGCATCGGTTTTAATTGGACTCTAATTAAAGCAAGTTCAAGGGAATCTTTGTGTTCTAGTTTGAGTTTGGACTCATCTACACGTGCAGGGCTCAGTCTCCTGCCTGGGGTCTCAGGGGAGACTGCAGCCTGAAAAGGATGGATTGAGAAGCACTTAATTAAACTAACAATGTGGCATTTCTGAAGGAGAAAGGAACACTTAAGATGTGTCAATAGACATCCAGAGTGCAACTGTTGTGAGCCCCTGCAGCCGAGCCCCGTCCGGTCGCGCATAGCTCCAACAGCTGCAAAGAGCACATGAGTACTTGCCAAGCCTCATTGGACCTATTAAAAAAAGAAACAATTATCTGTACATTGAGTTCTGCTCTATCGTCTCATTGTGGGCCCAGGATGGAGTGAAATCTATCCTTCGCCGCTCGATGACCATTTCCCCCTCTTTCAGATCTTTTTTTTTTCTTTCTCCTTTTAATATTTATGTGTTTTGCTGATAAAGTACACCGCTACTGCCACAGTCTGATGTCACTCACCCGTCCATATCTGTTGGCATAGGAACCCGTAAGCAAGGAATGGAAAACGATGATTGTTTCATCCAGGTCCCAGATGAAAACTCGCTGGAGAGATGGGAGGACGGAGAGGGGAGGGAGGAAAGAAACAAAGAAAAACAGAGAGAAAAAGAGGTAAAAATCAATGGGGCACTCTGTAGGGCTGCAAGGTGATCCTCCTGGTCAATAGGCCAGGAGCGTGTATTTGTGCGCCACAGGGACCGGGATCCATTTGCTTGGGTTGGTCACCGCAACACTCCTCCTATCACTCCGCTGCACGCTTTCCATCTCTTGCCCTTTACATTAGAGTAATCAATAGTGACAAACTAATTAACTAGATATGTTAACATGCAATGATGTCAGTGTTATAATGGGTGCTATTAACCTTGTTCAAATTCATATCGTATTAATGAAGAGCCTCTGAATTACCCAGAGATTATCCTGATATACGGTCACTATCAAAGAGTTTTATGGCCTCATGGTGCCATGCTGTCATTGTTAGTCACCGCTAGTGTCCAGTATTTGATGACCACAATAAATATATTATTCACCTCAGTGATGACTCACTTAATCTCATAGCCTATTGTTAATTCACGAGGTATACGTGAGTTCTTTATATAAGTTTAGTGGAGTCATATATTCCACAGAGCATCAATAATGCATTTATGGCTAAGGAATCAAATATTTAAGAATTAATGCCCATCAAGTGTTAAAGCCAGTGTGGCAGCCATATAGTAAATGGATTAGTGTCCACGGGCCTCAGACAGGGTGAGGCTGTCTGTCGCCAAGGTAGCGGGCTCACCCTACCTCAAGGTCGGAGTCAGGCGGCGGTGATGGGTTGTTGTTCCTTCTTCCCCGGCCACGTGATTTTCCATCCGAGGCCCGGCGCAATCGATCTGAATCTGAATCTTTAATGGGGGTTGATGGACTGTGGATGGTACTGTACTCTGCTGGGTAAAGAAGGAAAGAAGTATAAAAAGAGTGTTTCAAGAGATGAGCTAAAAAAGGACTTTGAGAAACCATTTGTCAAGACTTAATATTTAAGTGACTATGTTGGCCTACAGGTAATTAAAAGACTACAAACAAAACTGCATAAAAAACTCCTTATAACTGGACCGTGTTTCATAGAAGTAAAGAGGGAATAATATCAGGGAAGAGATAAATCAGGAGGATTGGTGTCACACAGCCTTAAGGAGTGAAGACTTTGGATTTGGTTACTGCTTGTAAAACATAACAATTACAAGATTATGGTACAAATGTGAGACTCCAAACCTCAGCAAATAGATGGAAATAGTAACAGAAATCTTTCAAATAGAATCAGCGACTTTCTTTTTCCCTTCAGAAACACCTGAGAAATGGACAGACTTTGCTGCAGATGAGAAGGATGCCACATTCATAGACTTTTGGCATGATGTATGTGAATCATTTTGATGAGAGACAAGGTGCTTTTTTACTGTTTTGTCTGTTTATTCTTTTTTTTCCCCCTCTGTAGGATAAAAAATGTAAAATTTGACTAAACTGAAAAGGCCTGCCAATTTGATAAAGGACAAAAACACATGCCATCAATATGTAGCAAAAATGTCTATCTAAATACGATGACAAAGTATATAATTACATTTTGTGATGCATGATGAGAGTTCAAATGCAGTCATAAAATCTGACTGACTCTTTGAGATACAATCAGTGCTGATCTGCCAGAGGATGCATTACTGTCTCATACAATTATAGTAATTTGTTCATCTTATTCCAGGTTTAATCATCAATTTTGCTTCCAAATAACGGCATATTTTACGCATGGGCTTGTACAGATCAAGATATTCAGCATTTAGCTCATGCTTTCTTATCAGGGGAAACTTCAAGCTATTGTACTTGGCCTCCCCGTGATCCAACAAACAGGAAAAAAAGAAGAAACTTAATTCTGAGCAGGTTAAAGCTCCTCATATTCAGGTTTGACGAGGTATCTCGCTGCATGACGATTGCTTCTTACCTGCGGGGCTCTCTGTGAGCGCCTGGCTAGTGATGCCCGTGGGTGGCTCCTGAAGGGTGTAGGTGGTGGTGGTGGAGGGCGTGCTGGGGCTGGTGTTGTTACTTGTCATGTAGGGTGAAGTGTAGGGTGAGCTGTTGTAATACTGAGCGTACTGCCCCTGGCCAAAGGCGGGATAACTAGGGTAGTCCTGTAGAGAAAGATGAAAACGGTATAACAGAGGGGATAAAGATAAGACAAGTGGAGGAAAATAAGGAACAGAGAAATGTACGATGCGGTTTACAAAAGGAGATTTAGATCAAAAAGGTGGATTAAAATCAGTCAGATGGTAGAGGAGCCGAGGAAGAGAAGAAAGAGGTTTGGCAGGGTAATGTGAGATTTGCCCTGCGCCAGTGTTGCTACTTTACAGTGCAGATTCCAAAACATAAATGCAAACACATGTCTGTCCTGTCCTACATCTGGACAACGATCTGTCTTGTTTTTTTTCTCTTTTTCCTCTGTGGCATAAGACATTTGTGTTGGAGGAGGCACAGTAGTTAATCCTGCGTACAAAGCTTTTGACATCCTGAGTGATTTATGTTCAAATATGTCACGGATGAAATGTAACATATTGGGTATGCATGTTTCATAAAGATTTCCAGGTTGGAAAGAAGCCTGCAATTCAAACTTACATAAACTGATAGCTTCATACTGATAGAGGAGAGCAGAAATAGAGAGAGCGGAAGGATGTGTACGCATACCTGTTGTGTGCTGTTGAAGCCGGTTGAGTTTGTGAGGGAGTTGTTTCCTGCGTACAGTCCTGATGTTGTCGTGAAAGTGCCACCTTAGAGAGGAATAACAGACATTTTTGAACTTTATGATAAGCATATAACATCAAGAAATCTATTGTTTTTTTAGACATTGTTAGTGGATAAAAAAAAAAAAAGTTGGCCTCTTATGAATCAACTCTGTGTTGTTGTATGGAGGGAGGCCTGAGGGAGAGCTCCAACAGGGGCCTTATCTTCCCCTCTTCCTTCCTTATCAGTGATTGGATCAGGTCTGATGAATGACAAAAGGGAGGTAGGGGAGGGCGAGGGGTGGACGGAACCTGCCCCCAGAAGTCATCCAAGCCCGCACAATGTAAGTAAGACAAGAGGCTGTTGTGTGTAAGCTACTTGGGGGCGTAGGAGAAGAAAACGGGGGTGTGAGTGGTGTCGTGAGACAGAGATGTATGAGGAAGAAGGGTTGAGGTCCATGTGAGGAACAATGAGTGGGGAGGGTTTGCTGCTGACATCCAGCCATAATGAATATGTATGTGTCTCTTTTCACTTGCTCAAAGGATGGTCCTCCAGGGTAATTAAATCATTCAAAGGGGTTGATGGCATCTAATGGCTTAATAATACACATGACATGAGCGGCAGCGGTGGCAGCCCCTGAGGGCGACATTTCTCTCTGTCTCTCTCTCTCTTTAGTTACAATCCACCTGCACTGTCATGTCAGACAGGAGGAGCAGCACAGAGATTTAAGTAAGAAGTAGGGGTGGGAGGAAAAATCGATACAGCATAGTATTGCAATATTTTGTCTAGCGATATATCATATCGTCTTAGTGACCAAGTATCGATTTTTTTCAAATTGATTGTTAATTTGAAGTCAAGTCTATGATAATGGAAAATAAAACCAACTGTTTGTCCAGTGAGGTTGGCAGAGGTGACATCATAGAGCAGGAGAAAGTTAGTGCAACAAATAAGGTTAGCAAGATGTGCTACATGAAAATAAAATACAGCGTAAATAAGACAAACATAAAGGAAAGACAAATGCTAAATTAGCTAAACAGTTGAAAAAAATGTATTTCACAGTATATTGTATCGCAATACTCACTATATTGCAGAATGTTAAAAATCACAATAATATCGTATTGTGGGGCCACTAGTGATTCCCACCTATAGTAAGAAGTAAGGCAAAAAAGGTCCTAATATTAGCAGGCATTCGTGGTTTTTATGAGCACTGAGAGACAAGCACATATTTTACAAAAACACTCTAATTCCACTCTTTAAATAATAGCTGCTTGCCTTAAAAATTGTAATTCTAACACCTGCAGACATCTTGTGTCTAAATAAAAAATATTTCCAAAATTTCACTTAACCTAAATAAATAAAGCTTATTTACCTTTGTCATAAATGACAGGTTGACTATCTAATTGTAATGTAAATAAAGTGAGGCATAAATACAGCACTTAAATAATTTAATTACATATCTACGTAAAAATGTGACCGACTTTTCAATAGTGATTTTCTGCAGCTTGGTGTATGGGGTTTTTATGAATGTCAGATATTAAGTATATAACCGTGCACCTCATCCAACTGTATCAGGATATGATATTTCTGCCTGTTGATTCTGAAAACTAATAATCCAAAAATAATCAATTTGAAGAGTTTAAAGGTTTGCGAACACAACACAACCTCTTTCCACCACTTATTTTTGTTGATAAAATGACAAATCATTTATTGATGCGTTTATAAAGTTACACAAACTACATCTGCATGTTTTAAAAGAGCTATCACTAATCACCTCGATGTTTCTCCAAAAAGCCCCAAATCATCCCTGATTTTCAGTGAAAACGAAGGGGGAGATAAATTTACTGTTCCTAAATGGGGGCGTAATTACACCTTTGTTCCTATAGACAAACAGAGGGAGCTCCTTTCATCCTGTGGTCATTGGCCCCATCAGGAGGGCCCTCCCACACCGTGACAAACATGAAGCAGCTTTCAGAACAGGGGGAAGGATCAGGGGAGTCTGGGGAGGGGGAGCATGAAGGGTACCGTATCGGGAAAAAACACAGAAAAAAAAAAGGAATGAAGTTGTGCAGTGTTTAGTCTTGTCAGTTAGCTAAGTACCCAGCACTGTGTCTAAAATAAGAGAAACAAACACCTCCAAGCTCTCAAGATTACTCGCCTCACTAATTATTTGTGCAGTTTCTCGCTTTCTGCTTCCAGCGATGAAACACACTGCAGATTTTTACCTTGTTCCCCATCTATGCCCCCACTGGTTATTTTCTAATCAGAACTGTTCTCTTTCTCTCTCCGTTGATTCATTTGATATTTCAAGGCCTGAAAGGGGAATTTTAAAACTTTTTTTGTTCTCCACAGAAAGTTCAACATCAAGTGAAAGTCTTGCAGAACAATGAAGACGGAGACCAGGAGGAGTGAAGCTGCGAAGGACAACAAATTAGCCTAATGCACGGTTCAAAAAGTCGTAAAAGCTCCCACTGGCAGAGTTTGAGGGTTGCTGCGTGGAGAACAAGGAACCACATAAAAGACGAAGGGGACCCCTGCTTCTTCGGTGAGAATGAGCCCATGCTGTTGGGAGTGGTGGTGTTGGTTATATTCTGGGGGGGAAGAAGGGGTCTTGTGGTTCCCCAGGGGGCATGTTTTCTCTCCCTCCCCCTGTCCTTGCTCCAGTTAGTTCACTCACTCAGGAGCAGACATCATTCCTCCCCTCCTCTCCTCCTCCTTCCCCTCATGCCTTCTGGCTCCACAATTGGAAGTCCATTTGCTTTGCCTGATCAGTCCCCTTGCCATGGGCTATGTCTATCATCAGTGCACAATATTTGTAGCAGAAGTTTGTATGCCCCACTTGGGAATAGGCTATCAAGTCCAGATGGGCTCTGCTTTTAAAAAAGATGACCACGGCTCCGGCGTCTTCAGCTTGCACTGAGACAGAATGCTGGAATCCAATTATTCAACCTAACAAGCATCTGCTCAGTCCAACTATAAGAACCATCTCATCTCCACACACCTCGGATTTTTAATTCTTCAAACTGACACAAAGGACTGCACACAAATATGCCTTTATGATTTAAGCTCCATGGCATCAAGCATGAAAGCAAGGAACAAAAACATTAATCTAATCGTCCTCTGCCTTGACAGCTGGCCACAGGCTGGTGGCAGGGACATGGACAGAGAGGGGAGTATCAGATGTGAGGGGAAAAAACAGGGGTCTTTGGAAGGGACACCCAGGCCTGAGGCACCTCACAGGCAGATCAATAGGCCGGAGAGAGTAATGATGATGGTGTGGCAGAGGGCCAGAGCCACAGTTAGAAAAACTCGGGGCCAGAATAGTGGTCAATCTGTCATCTGATGTGGCTGTCAATTACTAACGCACTCAAAGCTATGTGCGGCACTGGATAAACAGAGATAGCAGGAGAGACAGAGAGAGAGACTGAGGGCTAGAAAGAGACAGAGTAAGAGCATAATACTTGGAAGATGAATGGGCACATAATACTGTCATCGTGAGTTAAACCACTAAGAGCAGGATAGCAGCTTCTGCATTCTGCCACACATGCTCCCTCTCTTGTTCCCCTTTCTCGCTCTCTCTCTCTGTCTGCGTCTCTCTCAATAGCTCTCTCTTTTCAAGCGCATCATCTGCACGCTGCAAAACTCTCGCTGCGGCTGACTCTATTTGCCTAAGAGGCGTGGAAAAGAGGCTTCCCCACGCCACATCTGCTGCTGAGCTGGCGTTATTTATTGTGAGATGCTCCGGAGGCTTTTCAGTAACATGTGGAGACGTTTCCACTGTCACACATTAGATACTGCAGGAGGGAACACAAAGATTCGGGTAGCTGCTGGCAAATACTTCTCCTCTCAAGTGCAGGTGGAACAGAGGCTTTACAAACAGATACAAATAGAGAGTAATAGAAACATTACAAGGCACAAGGCTCGACTGAGAAGAAAGAGGAGGAGAAAAGGAGGAGAAAAAAAGGAGGAGTGCAGGGTGCAACAACTCATCTTTATTGTTTCCAAGGACATAAATCTCTCTAGACTCAGCTCTTAAACAAATACAAATATGATCACAGGGAGAGAAAAAACAAAGGCTGGGGAGTGGGAAGCAACATGGCTAGTGCCTCCTAAGTGCCTGCCATTTTTCCATCTGTGTTGATTCTTTTAAGAGGAGAGGAGAAGAGAGGGAGGCAGCCATCATGGCTGCACATAACAGCCGCTCAGATACACTGATCTTTTGGGGTGAGGGAGAGGCCCGTGTTGTGAATCAGTCTGGGTTTTTGTGCTATTAAATCAGGGACAGATACCCTTTTCTGTAATTGTTTTTTAAGAGCTTAGAAAACCTTATTTGGATAGGCTGAGGAGAGGGAGCGCATGACAAAGACCGAGGAAAACTGACAGAGTTATCAGAAAACAGAGAAAAGAAAAAGACTTTTCAAAAAGACAAAAAAGATGAGCGCTTGAGGTTTGAAGAGCAGAAATAGATACAAAGAGAGGAAAAAAAAAACAAAAAAGCAACATTTCTCCATCATAATTTTAGACCGCTGGTGAATCAAAGTCTGCCCGGTGGTTTTGTGAACCTCACACAATGTCAACCATTTCAGCTGTTCTGTTTTTATAGCTGTAAAATTGGACATGCATCCATCCTAAACCGAGAGTGATGGCATCCCACTCCGCACTTCAACCCCCTCCAAGCTTATTTGCGTGGATGCAGAGAGAAAACGCTTCATAAAGATTTCCTCACCTTGCATCTGGTAACTGTAGGGGGCCTGTCCCGTCTGCGGCGTGGTGAAGCCGGAGCTGTAGCTGAGGAAGCCCGTCTGTCCCGGGGATTGGGACTGACTTAGACCCCCCTCCGTCTTTATGCCTGCCCACAATGGACCTAAATCAGTTAGTGACACCAGATCGGTTTGATGCACAGACAACAGTCAACACAGGTTTTTAATTACACTGCACACTGCGTCTGTCTGTTAGTATAACACGCTAATCACGATGCACGAGTGCAGATTATCTGATCAGAGATTTTTGCTATCATCAGTTTAGTAATTTTATCTCACTGCGGACGTGTTTTCACTCGACTGTAAATCCAAAACGCTTGTTAGAAGCACAACTGTTTGATGTTAATTTTATTATTGTTAGCATAGGCCAAGATAGGTCATTTTGGAAAAGATGCACAAGTAATGAAACTTTCTGCTTGTGTTTGTGAGTTAAAGTTGCCATTGCTTACACTAAATCATTCACGATGCAGCTTCTATGCAGCGGTAGGTTGCAGCACTCCCATTCAAATAAACAGAGTAAATTCCTTCACATATTGGAGAGTCTTTTGGGGTCAAAACACTCTAAAGACTTTGGACAAATAAAGCCTTCTGTGAGCCATGTACTCAGAGCTTTCTCTCGCGCTGCCAGAGGAGAGCAGGTTTTGTTTTCAGATTTTTATCACAGATCTTTCGGATCTTTCTGAACAGCCTGACAAGCAAATTCGGTTTTATTACAATGCAGGAGAATATGCGAGCTCCGAACGACAACTCAACGTCTCTGTTGGCCGTGATTTACAGGAAGAAGGAAGAGAAAAGCAAAGTTTACTCCCATTCGAAAATAAAAACACAGTATTTTTAATTTTCTATCCTTTTGCATGCATACAATGTGAAAGCCATTCATAGATTACATGCATATGTTACTGAGGGAAGAGGAGGTTTTGATGTGTCTTAGAGGAAACTTACCATAGGCCGGGATGCCATAGGGCTGACCAGGCTGGGGGTAGCTAGCATAAGCTGCGGCCTGCTGCATTCCTGTGGTGTACTGCGTCTGCCCGTACGCAGCCATATTTTGGGATGAAGGGGTAGGAAGAATATGTGGATATGTTCTGCTATTTGAGAAAAGAAACAAAAGACAAAGAGTGAGAGAGGAAGGCGAGGAAGAAAGTGGACCATGTTGTGCGCCTAAAACCATAACACAAACTCTGCTAACTGACAAATTCCTCGTGATTGTGCTACCTCATTTTTAACTCAGAGCCAAGCTGTGAGGCAGATAGCATCGTACGGCTCATACACATCGAGAAAGAACAATAAATGGCAAAGGAAATTTTCACAAGATAATAATTACAACAGATTTAAGAGTGCGCAAGCTGCAGACATCCTAACAAACAGAGCCGGCCGAAAACCCCCGATCCAGCAGAAGGATCTAATTAAAGATCCAAATGAAGTTGGATGCTGCTTATTTTTAAAAGAAAAATAAAAGAAGCCTTACTTGGAAGGGTAAATCTGCGGAGAGAACTGGTGAGTTTGTCTTGGGCTGAAGCCACTGGTTCCAATAGCTGAGGAGAGTTAAAAAGAAAAGAGGCAAGCACATATTTAAACATTAAGAAAGAAGGTAAATATTATCATTTGCCAATAGAACTTCTGGATTCCGGGGCAACAGTAATTACATTGCATTACTCTATTTATTTCGCTAACCCTATTTAAGGTTGAAAACTGGAGAGCAATAATGAAGTAAAATAATCAGGTAAGAACATCAGGTTTTTCTGCTGACCCACGTATCTCTGAGATATGTCTGTGCTGCTATGACGACTGCTGGTGTAAACACACACACACACACACACACTCGCACACAGGATGGTCTGAATCAGCGCTGGCCTGTAGCTTCAGCTGCCTCGGGCCTTTAAAGCCACAACCACATTGGAAGTGACATCACTGATTGCAGGTAATGAGTGCTACTGCATAATCATTCCTTCATTAAGAGTAGGACTTTGTGGTTCCACGGCGCTGTTCACTTGTGAAAGTTCAGCCACAAATAGCACAGAGAAGCACACCTGATTTCAATCTGAAGTAGCAGCTGTATTTTTTTAAGTATACTTTAAATAAACTCTTATTTAGCTTTTTTTTTAAACTTGAACTAGAGCTGCTTTATGTGTTACATGCAGGTTTCAATACCAAAATGTGGTCCAAATTAGAAAAAAGTAAACTTTTATCCGCAGGCCAGTGAGCAACTTTAGAGCCCTTTTTAAATAATTCCAGACTGCTTTGTATTCGTTTTTTAGTATAATGTCTAAGGCACACTTTTAAATGAGATTATTGATCTCAATTAAGTTTTCCTGGTTAAATAAAATTAAATAAATAATTGAAGAAATGACAAGAATAATTTATTGCAAAATTTTTGAAAATATGATTCAGAATTAAATAAAAAATAGTGCCCATAAATTAACCAATCTATTTTAAAGGATTTTGGAAAAATTGGAACAATTGTGGCGTTAATGTCAAAATTACATTACTTTCCTTTAACTGCTGCTGAGTGGTGCAGTCTTGAAACATCTGTCTAATTGGTCCTGACATGCAAAGTAAGAGATTTGGTTGCGGGGGAGCACTGACTGCATGTAACTGTACGCTGTAACCCCTCACACACGTTATCAATATTGAGGACTTTTCCCACATCAGCAGCACCTGCCGCTGGACAAAACCTGCTCTTCTGAACGGAGCTTTGGGTTTCCCCGAGGAGGATATGGGGTATAAGATTACTAAATTTCATTAATATTGTCAGAGACAAAAGTCATGGCTGTGATTTATTCGCTTCTAGCGTAGAGTATCAAATAGTTAGTTCAACAGTTAAGGAAACACAGGGAAATTAGCAGCCTGGTAATACCACGCACAGTTGGACGTGGTACTTTAAATACATGATTACAGAAAATATAAAAGAGTACTGCAGACAGATATGGATACCAGTTAGGCTGGAAAAAGCAATAAGTTAAAAAATTATCACATTAGAGATTCTTTCTCTAACAATTCCTACAATGCTCATTATACTCTGAGCTCCTGGTTTTATTTAGCAATGCCCCTGTGTGTGCGCATGAGTGTGTGTGTATGTGTGTGTGTGTGTGTGATGTTCTCGTGCTGAGAGCAGGGTGTGAAAATCCTGGCTCTGACAGGGCGATAGGGTAACAGCCCATGGAGAGTGAGGGCCACTGGGACGCCATGTCACTCCACTGGACAGACAGGCTCGGTGCATTACAGGTCATAATTCAGTCCTCAGTGGCATGGGAACCAGCAAGATAAAACACACACACACACACACATAGAGTAGATGTGCAAGCAAGCACAGCATATAAATATGCTGACAGAGGTAAGGTAAGAGTTGCATGTACTTTTACACACAAAAACACGGGCGCACACGCGCATTATATCTGTGTTTTAGCTGCAGGCACTCTTCCTGGGGCCTCGGCTTATCAGTCGCCCATCTGTAGGCTCATCTCTCACTAATCAGTTCTGCAGCTGTGAGTGAGTGTGTGTGTGTGTGTGTGTGTGCGAGAGGCAGCCAGACACATCAGTGGATGACACAAACACAGGCACACACACACAAACACAAACACATCAGTGCTCCCATCTCAAACCTCACCTGATCCTGAGAAGCTGTCTAGAGAGGTGTCTGCTACTGAGGTGGCAATTTCGCTGCTGCTCATTGGCTCGGTTTTAACTGCAAACAGAGAAGCCACATTGTCACCAATAGCACCAAATCAAGTCTGGAAAAAAAAAAGAAAAATAAATAAGATTAAAATCTTACTGCCTCAGGCTTTTAGATTTCTCTTACATTTACCTAATCGTGTTTTGACGAAACATCAAAAACGGACTCAGTTAAAACCAAAACAGGATAGAGGGAGAAGTCAAGAAACATTCAGGCACTTAACACACCATTTAAAGAGCCAGAATGTCCAAATTCATCATTGATATGCATTACATCTACACCAAATTCAAAGTGATTATTTATATAAAGTGATATATGATATATCTTTATTATTTCTTTCTTTTCGAGAGGATTTCTAAGCTGTTTTATTTTCATCACTGTCTTTATTATTCAACCTGAAAAAACATATCTAGAAATGTGCTGAAGCTTTTTCTTAAGCTTTAAATATAAGGTTTTTATTATTTGCTTTTATTTTAATTTTTTTATTAATATATTCTGCTCTCAAAAAAGTATTTACCTGTCATGATAAATTATCGTCTTTTCGGCGCTTAAATGTAGCATGATTCGCATATAAAAAGAGCTCCGCAGGGAGGTGAAAGTACAATTGAAACGTCAAGGAAACGTATGGTGTATAAAATCTTTTTAAGAGTGTAGCGAACGCTGTTTGACCTTGGCTCCATCATACAGCTCAGTGATACATCTATAAAGACAATTTCACAGCTTTCTGACAGCTCAGGAATCTTTGAAATCAATCCATTTCTCTTCAGGCGAGCTGGAGGATTTTTTTTTTTCTCTTTTTGGCAAAACAAATTGACAATGTGGGCAAGAGAGCTATGCTCAGTGGAATCCCTTATGGCTGAAGAAGCTGTTTGCTGTCATGTTTTACATGTTTCAGCTATGCTCATTCAGTGCAGAAACATATGTCGACAATAGGGCAATTCTTTTAAACAAAAAAAAGATGAAAAAAAAAGCGGTAGGTGCATGCATAAATGAGCACACACTCAGGCCACAGAGCACAAAATAACCACTGTGTTCAAGAAACAGCATGAAACACTCAAATGATATTAAAAAAATAAATTCACAGTATGCAAGTTCACAGTCTGACCATTCAACAACAATAGACTCAAATCCAGAGTGTGTAAAACCATGCTCTAGACAGAATACCACAAAACTACAGCAAATAAGTTTTGAATGAAAGGCACAATAGTTGAGGCAACTTCAGGATATTGCACATGATAAATAATCTTGTTTTGGGCTTTGGTTGAAAATTACTAATTGGAATAAGTTAAAAACAGAGACTTTCAGTCCTGCTCTCTTGGTTAAGTGGGAAAAACAACAAATATTGTCCTTTCATTGTGTCTAAAAGTTGACAAACCTGCAGCGGACTGTGAGTTAGAACCTAACAACCAGTCTGCAGTGGTAAGCATTGTGATGCTATCACCTACAGGAGAGAAAGAGCAGCAGAGGGACACATGACAGTCTGCACCATGTCGGCTTCTGTCTCATGAACACACACACACACACACACATGTAAAAAAACAAAACCCTGACTTTACCACATAGATGAACCTGAAGATTACATGACACAGGGAATGGCCTCAATAGCTTGGCTTGTGACATGAGCACGAGTGCTTCACTAAACAAAGGTTCAGATTTAAGCACAGGCGCATCACCTGAGTAAATAACTACGCACAGTAGAGAACTTATGCAAACTCTATCATTTCCATGCTATGGGCTTTGAATAATTACATGGTTACTTGAATAAACAGCTAAAAGACAGTGGAAAACAACAACTGCAACTACAATTGTGCGAGCTATGAAATGCTAGGTCCGTTTGTATGGTTGAAAAAAATCTACAATGCAAACCAGCTATAGAGACATGCATTTTCCAGATGTTTAATACTTTGCTGCTGCAAAAAAGGTCCTGACAATTCAACATAAAACAAAGAGTACGAATTTAAATTCCACAAAATATATAATACTACAGTACATTTTGATCACTACTTGTAGACCCCTAATAAACAATGCACAAAAGAAAGTGTGACAGAGAGATAATGAAGCAAACAAGCCTTACACACACATACCTTCAGTGCCATTGGGTGTCATGGAATTGTTATTGATGTGCGAGTTGTCGAGGTTGGGACCATTAGGAGATTCACTGCTTCCACTTACTCGGCTGTGAGGACTGGCTAGATCCTGCATTTCCATAGACCTGACGAGAAACACACGCACACACACACACACACACACACACACATGCACACACCAAATCAAATTACACATCTCACTCTGGTTTCACGGAAGACACGCAGCTCTGATTCACAATGCAGCGGACACAGTATGTACAAAACTGTAATCCAGATTCATATAAACAATGTGTGATAATTACAAGAAGTGATAAAAACATTATTAGCAATTTTCTTTGTAAAATAAATACTGATATGGTACACAATGCTATTTACATTTAAAACTATGATTCACAATTTTTTATGGCCTTGCTTTGGATATTTCAAAATAAAAGGATAATATTTTTGTATGAAAATTAACACCAAACCGGGGAGAATATATGGTGCAAAATTCAAACTCGCACACACACGCACAATAACAGCAGAACTTCAGGCTAAAACTGGAAATATAAACATTTAGACGTGACTATTTCTGATTTCTCTCTTTACAGAAATTACACCGTTTTTGCTGTTGATTTACTCTGAACATATGTACTGCGTGTGTGTGTATCCTTCTGTGTGGTATCCAAGACTGTTAACAGATGTTTGCTGGTTTGGGGCGATGCTTAATGTGCCTGTTAAAAGTGCTGCCTGATTGTATGAGCCCCATGCCTCAATGATGGGCAGATGAGAAGCTCATGAGGCATGTGTTTTCTCTGGCAAGCTACTTAATTGTTTCGGTGTTTATACAAAGACCACGGCACTAAAAACATTATTCTGTCTTCTTGTTTGTGTGCTCGGAGGATCTGATCGAGTAAAGACAGCAGGGACTGAAGGAGAGGAGGCACGAGTGATTTGAAAAGTACAGCCACAAACTCCAGACCCCATTTGTCTCTGCCACTTTGCAATGGTACGTTAATGAAATTAGGACAAAATGTTTTGTACATTATGCTGCCATTTCCAATTATATTCCAGAGTTCTGGGTATCTCTGCTATTGATACACATCAGCTTTTTACACAAGGCCACAAAGAGAAATGCTTAAGAAACTCTGAGCAGTCTAAGTGCTATCAGATGGCAGCAAGAAACCAGAATTATCAGATAAAAAGATTAAATTATGATATGCATTTACTCTATTTAAGATGCTATTTCACTGTTATGATATTATGATACTTTGCAGTATAGCTCGGCAAATATAGTTCTTTCTTGTGGTATAAATACAATTTAATTATTAACAGATTGAAAATATATTCTGCAGCAAAAGATTATAAAGCAAAGTGACAACAAGAAAAACAAAAACAAAAAAAAAGCAGTAAAATCAAAAACAATGAGACAAAAAGCAAAGTCAGCCTTAGTCACACATACCCCAATAATGGAAGCTGCATTACTCTTTTCCCAGAAGTATATTAATTTACTCTACACTAAAAATATCACACCCTCCAAGCATACAGCGGCACAGACTTACAAATAAAAGCATGTTGAGGATCCTGCAGAGTAAGCTAGTTCTTCTACTACTTTTCACACTCACTATTTAATTCTGTTTTCGCCCAATTTTTCCTGATTTTTCCCTCATTAGTTCACAGCTAAACACACTGACAATACAGCTTCAAAAAAACTCGACAGTTCTTTAGCAGAGTGTCTGAGTGAAATCTCTGATGCCCTGCAGAGCGTTACAAGTCTCTGATGCTGCTGGCACCGGCTCAACACTGCTCTTACCTGCAGCTAGACGGGCTTAGAGTCCTCACAAACCACCCTCCACCTCCCTGTACTCTGCCTCCACCTGCCCCAGCAGAAACAATGTCACTCCTTGTTACTGCAGCTCGATGTCACAGTCCAGAGCCATCCATGACACAAAAAGGCTTGTCTGAGAAAACATTATTGTTATTCTGGAGCAGAATGGGAAGAGAGGGCTAGCAAGGGGAACAGAGGCGCACATTGTCTCCTCTCTCTGAGCCGCGGCCACTACTCCACTGTTGTTTCCTCCTCCAGGTCCTCCCTCCTCCTCCTCCTCCTCCTCCCCGAGCGAGGGGAGCACAGCCAAATGACGGAAAGGTGATTCATCATTGGTCTACGACAGCTGCAAACTGGATTAGCCCTCCCCCAATCAACATGCAAAGAGGCTTAGCCAAGGTAAGCAGGAAGGGGTGGGTGGTTGGGGAGGGGGGTTTGGGGGTGAAGGTAGGCAGAGGGGTGAGGGGGGTGGGGGGGTTAAGGGGGGTGTCTACCCGCTTTGCTGCTTGAGGTAGCCTGCTGCTGGAAGGGTAGATTGGACTTGTTGAGCAGAGGCAAGTCAAGCGTGACACCCCCAGCATCTTCAGCAGATCTTTCATCTGCAATTGACACTATCTGAAATTTATCAGCACTCCCCCCTCCCGGCATACTGACAGCTCCTAATGACTGTCAGGGCTGCTTCCCGCAGGCCTGCCCCAGCCTGGGGCCATGGCACAGAAACACACAAACTCTTCACTCCACAGTGGACACAAAGGCAAAGAGAGAGAGAGAACAATATACACACTTGCGTAGACATCTGATAAATCTTTCTCTGTGGCTTCTGTCCTCTTTTTTTATTCTCTTTTCTTAAACACATAACTCATGTCTGTATGTCTGTGCTCACACACTTAAGCACAGGGCTCTTCAGAGGCCCCAAGATCGGTGGTGCAAATGCGCACACACACTTACACATGCACGCGGGGCACTTTAGAGGCCCCCAGATCAGTGGTGCATCTCAGACAATGAACGAGACTGGAAACAAGAACACGCAGAGCATATGGAGCCACATATGTTTCCTATGACGCTGCGAATGCCTCTATTACTCTCCGTTAGCTGACAGTTACATCTCGCTGTCCACTCCTGCTCTGCTTGTCCCTCTGCAAACATCAAGCAGAGCCATATACATGCACGGCTATAACACTATATTAGAGCTGCCTCCAGCCCACCATGGGGATACAGGGTCCAGAGAAGGTCAAAGGTATTCAACTGGTCAGAGGAAAGAAAGAAAAAAAAAGTCTTTTTTTTTTTTTTTTGTCAAAAGTCCTGGCATGATTTTTAATGGCTGACTGTTTACATGAGCCAGGGTAACCTGAGCTGCATGGTCTTAAGGTTTTTTTTTTTTTTTCTCCTTTTTTTTTCAACAGGCTTTGCTCTTCACACCAAGAGAAAGCCGTCATGAATACCAGTCAAGCTTAGCGTTTCGCCTATTTTCAAACTGGTTCTGATACAGCTTAATAAACGAGAAATCGAACTCTGTTCCATGCTCGCTCACTCACTCTAGGCTGCCGACAACAGCAGTGCCTCCTCCTGGTATTTCCCAACACAGAAATATGTAGGCGATGTCAAAAAAGGAAGACAAAAAATATCAATGGAAAAGAAAGTCTACAGAGGTAAAAGCCATAAAGACGAAAGAGAAACACACTCTGCCACAGCACATTAACAGCGATCACAGGGCTGTAGAGAGTGTGTGTTGTGGTGGACTGATGTGGTATAACGTGTGTGTGTGTGGTGGTTGGTTTCTCTGTGCAGCAGTGCAGGCCAATGCAGCCATTAGCATGCTGATGTGTGAGCCATAGCCAGCAGGTGAAGCCAGCCAGGTGAAGAGGGGGAAAAAAAGAAGAAGAGGGGGGCAGGGATTTAAAAGCAAAAACAAGCCTTTCTTCTTCTGCTGCTGCGCTGCTAAATATTTATTGTTTAAAGGAGAGAAGGGCTGCACTCAGAAACTTTGATGTGCATCTTAGTTCAACCTGAACAGGTCTTTGAAGCTAACAGGAACAAAGCAAGGAGAGATGAGGCGCTGCGAGTGTCATCAGAAGAAGTGCCACAACACGTTTCTCTCACGGTTGTTTGCTGGCTCCTTGTTTCGCTTTACTTCTTCCAAGACCTGCGTTACCAAAAGTCAACAAAGCCACAGCCGAGCTTTTAGCATAGATCATCCCAGCATGCAGGCTGTCTGACCCAGCACAAATCTAATCCTCACCTCTAAATACATATTTCTTCAGGATTCAGCTGCATGCTTGCTTTTTAAAAACACGTCTGAATTTACGTCTACTCAAAAAAAAGTTGAAAAAAATACGACTGAATATGCTTTGTTTGTTTTTTGCTCAGCACTCCCTCCCTGTTTCATCCTTCATAGGTAATAATTTTATGGGATCACAGTCCCTTGTCCTTTGAATTTTACAGTCTATCTAAGCCATGTGTTGTGAGTTACAACTTTTGGAAAACAATGCTTTAATCAAAATCTAACTTTAAAACAACTAATCCTCACTTAAGCTGGTCAGCTGAATCCACATGGTGGCCCAGGAAAAATAAATCCACTCTCAAAGAATGTAGATGCAGACAACAATTGGACACAGATGTGAGTGGATTTAGCCACAGTTTACAAAATGCTACACTTCACTTATGTTCTGATACGTGGCTGAAAAAACAAAACCTGCCAACGAATGCAACTTTGAACAGCTTTGTGCTATTTCATCCAAAACTGATGTTTTATAGATGTAGTAATAAAAAAATATAAAGATGGACATTTAACATTTTGAAGGGTGACTTTTTAAAAAATGAAGGCAAAAAAGAAACCGCTGCTCTTTGACTCTAAAATGATGTTTGTTTAAACATGAAGGCAAGGCAGTATATAGCTTAATAAAATACACGTGTTACCAATTTTTTTCCCCTGTAAAAATAACATAAAAATATCAGGCTTTATTTTTTACATCCTACAATTTTTCATTCAATCAGGACTGTATAAGTCTGTAAAAGGAGACTTGTGGCGACAAATTGTCAAAGCACACAGGGCTTTACACATAAACTACAAACAATGTATATGTAATTGTGTTGTAATTAAAAGCCCGATTATTAACAGATGTGGTGTTTGCTGATGTGCAATTTGTCTCTCTCATTTGGTTCAATCTGACATGGTGCTCCAGCAATTCTCTCAATAGCTACATTAAATCTGTTAATACTGTGCTCTTCAACCCTCAAAATTATTTCCAGAAGGCCGGCTCGCCTTTGAGGGGCCATCAAGTAAGATTTAAGGTGCACATTTTATCACAAGCTGCCTACCACCGTGACCACCGCAGACCGAGAGGGGTTTTATACACAAAGATAAAAGAAAGGCCAGAGACAAACCTTGACGATTTTATCACTTAAATGCTCAGGGTATGTTATTTTAATTTGGACAAATTAAAGAAAGTGATCTACTGCATTTATAAAATTATTACCTGCACAGGGGAGCAAATGTCAAGAATAAAGGAAGAAACAGAGCAGCTCTTTTTTATGATTTAGAAGCAGAAGAAAATATCTTTATGTGACTATTTGAATAATGGGTACTTTTGCCAGACAACCCATTTTGATCAAATCTGTGGTCCTGATTATCTTGCACCACGAATGATATTGTCATTTTCAACAAAAAACAAAAGTGGGTGTTTGTGATTGAGGACATGTGATAAGAATCAACAGAAAACTTAAAAGCTCATTTCCTGCTCTTTCAGCTCTGTCTTCAAGGTCCAAACAGTGGTGTGTTAACAAAATAAGAGCCCATAGTATTTAGTAAACAACCCCTGCCTGCTAATCAGCTACTTAATAAGAGGTCCCCTATTTCCTCCCTATTTCTTCTGCATGTTCTCTCTCTCTCTCTCTTCCTCTCCTTCAATTAGCCCTCTGTGTCTTTCACCGTTTTCAATCTCCTCTCTGAGAGAAGAGGACGAGGGCTCGGCCCCGGCTAGACACATCTACACAGAAGACATCAGGCCTTTAGGCAAACAATGCCACCGTCACCACCGACCACACTCCTGCTCACACACACTGCAGCTACACATGCACGGAGAGACCCTGATCTCTGTCTGCGCAAAGCAAATACACAAGGTAAACAGGCCCAAATCAGCCACCTCATTATCTGTTAATTGGATAAATAAGGTTATTGTGTGAGTGAATGGCTGCAGCAGGCGGTCACACACACTGTCATGTTTGTCTACACTGAGCGGAGGCCACTCTGCAAGCAGTCTGCCTCTCCAACCTCTTTATTTCCTCTCTTTCATCTACAAACACACACCTTACTACACAGCTAAAAAGAGCAGCACTTTTTAAATTATAGGAATTGGAGGATGAAAAAGCAAAGAGGAAAAAGTGCAAATTTAAAGAGATGAAGAGTACTTTACACACGTATAATAATTCTCTGACTTGTGATGTAAGCCTGTGATCAAACACACGACATTAAACCAGAACATCCTTCAATTAGAGAGGCGACTGATTACAGCGGCTGAGTCATCTTTGCTAGACGTGGGACGCTGGCGAGCGGAGACGCAGCACGGCCGGGAGTCAAGGCCTGTTGTCTCTGTGAGACGCTGAGAGCCTCTCAGGTCTCTCTGCAGCATTCCTGGCCTGAGCAGATGGCATTAGATGTCAACTGCTTTAACTGCGTTGGTTTTGTTTGTTCTGCCAGTGAAAAAAAAAGAAGACTCCTGTAGAGAGCAGTGTGTTTGCCTTGCCTGATCAAAAAATGTAAACCGGGCTGAGGAGCATGGCAGGATCACACGTTTCAAAGAGAAGATGTGAATACATTTGCAGCTAGCAGATTAAAAGCATTTTAAAAATGTTTTTCAAATATTTTTTTGGGATTATTTTAAATCACAAGGTTAGAAAATCAAAACTTATTACGTCTGACAAGAATTTTAGGAGACAATTTTTATAAATTTTTTTATAACTGCAGACAAATATGACTTTAAAATCGAGTGAAAAAATAGAGGGCTAAGCCAAGTATCAAATATGATATACTTTAAGTGTTATTTGAATAGTGTTATATTACATTTTAAATCCTTCTCAATAAGATTTACATTCATTTTCAGTTCAATATTTGTCTGAGTTTTTAGTCCATTTTTAATACTACAGCTCAAATGTAACGATCACCACCCTTCTCTTTGTTTGATTTTATCATTATTATAATATTTCATTTTACCTACTGTATTGCATTTTTTAACAATCATTAACAAACTGTGGGTTCTGTCGTCCACTCTGACATGAAATTATGAAAATAAGCAGAAATCAAATTATTTATTATTTAGCTTTTTTGATGTAAATCCATTTCTTGGGAATTAAAAGCTGAATTCAATTTAATGCAAATGAATCAGATGTTTCAACTGGGTCCACACACACACTTACACACACACACACACACTAAAACTCTAAAACCAAACAAGTTAGGAAAAGACAGTAAGTGAATGCGTGCGCCAAACATAATATAGAAATTGGAGTCATACTCACTACAATTATGGTTGAATCCCTGTGTGTTTATCCCGTCTAAGATCTTCTTTAAAAAAAATCATCTACAGAAAGATCATCGGTCCAGCAGCACAGACAGCGAACTTTCTAAATCAATTCTTCTGGTGATGGTGAAATCTGTAGCACAATAAATGTCAACTACAAAACTACTTTTTTCTTTTCATTTTAGGTGTTGGAACCCATGGAGCCCCGCGCGCTATCTCAGGAGACCCGGTCCTAGTGAGAAAGAGAGTTGTCCGATTACTGCTTCAGGCAGTGACTAGTGAGTGTCTGAGGAAGAGGGAAAAAAAGAGAGAGAGTGAGAGAGCGAGAGAGAGGGAGGGAGGGAGTAAACGAGGGGAGGGAGAGGGAGGCTGCTGCCGTTTTGAAAAAGCAGAAAAGTTGCTCGGCGCTCTCTCTCACAGGAAGACTTTGGGTCTGGAGGAGGCACAGGGGAGTTGAGCCTCACACCAGCTCCCCATATGTCATTCACTCACAGCTTTAAGCAATAGAGCCCTCTCCAGATTGTATCAGTGGAGACTTAAGACAATGAAACGGCAGATCTCTTCACCGGCCTGCCTGTCCACTGGAACACACGGCTCTGCTCACACACCCCTAGGGCCCACATGTATTTTTCTTCCCCAGTTTCTCTCTACTTTTTGTTATGCTCTTTTTTCTCCCTCCATAAACAAGTTTTTTTTTTTTTTTTAAACTTCCAAATCTTAGGTGGATGCAGGATTTTTGCTTTGTCATAGAGGGTAAACAAGAGCTTATGTCATTAGCTTAGGTGACGGGGAGCCGGAGGTTTAGCAGCGACTGAGTGGCTTGTCTCTGTTCGTCTCCCTGCAGCGGCAGACTAGTGGAAGTCCTCCGTCAACACATACACGCCGCGTCTGTGTGCGAGGTAATGACTGCCTTCTGTCTGCTCCAGGTTATTATTTCAACTGTGTGAAGCTGCCGCGCAAGGCCACGCTGCTACTGATGAGCTCGAACTGGTGATTTATTCAAGCCGGTGATGAGAAGCTTTTGCTCCGATATATTATGCCATTTTTTTTCTGAGTATATCTATCTGTGTAATGAATAATTCGAGGATCAAAGGAGCATTAAAATAATGTGATTTCTACATAATAAAACTATTGGTGAAATAACAACTGTAATACTGAAAAATGATTACCTTGAAAGAGGAAATCCTACATTAACTACAGTAAGGAGGTGGTGAGAGAGGAAAAACACCCACAGCAAGAAGAATAGTTTACTGTGTTAGAGGTTGGCCGGTGTATGTACTGCTTGTCTGCTCTGTTGTCTTATAGTCAGAGGGTGACGATAAGAGTAAAAAATGAAGGTATTTGCCGCTAAAAGAGCTCATTCATTACTTATATGGGATAAAAAATAAAAAAAAGCTAATTTCTCCTTGATCAGCTGTAGAGTTCACAACCCTTACTGAAAGCAGGTCACCACCAAACAGCCTCTGTAGCAGCAGTCAACAAGGAGCTGACAGAAATAGATCCAGGCTGCAGCACCCCTGATTCAAATACACTGCAGTAATCATGTGGACCCTCTGCAAATGGAAGCACAACCTCCTCTTCTGCCCACAGGTAAATCCACATATGCTCGTGTTTCAATATCTTAGCATGAAATATATTGCACATTGAACAGATAACTCAATTGACTAATAGAAGCTCGGGGACTCTCAGGTAACTGTTTCTAATAGTGGAGGAGGGGTACACATACCAGTGGAGTTAGTGCATTTTCTCTTATGCTTTTTTTTTTTTTTTACAATAAGCAGCTGTATAAAATTAGCTCGAGATGCAATTTTGCAACTGAGTTATTTTCAAATTGCACAGTATAATTATCCGGTGTTGTTTATGTCTCAATGACTAGACTTAGATTTTCCTGCAGGAGTCTCCTGCATGTAAAGCTGAATAGTGTGTTTTAAATCAGGGCTCCCATCAAGCTAGCAGTATCTATGGATGCTTGGTTTATGTGCGACAAATTGAGAGTCAGTCGTATATAAATTAAGGTAAGCTGAGTATTTTAACGCGTTTAGTTTAGCTTCAAAGGAACAGTATTCACTGAAATGTTACACCTTAAAACCGCTAAGACACTGTAAACATAAGATCCCTCATTAGATGCACAAATAAGAGCAACTGAATCGTCTTTTCTGCAGCCATAAAAACTGTAATCTTAACACAGCCTTCTTCATCTGCCAAATGGAGGCTTAACAAAAGATGCACTGATACCGTTCGACTGACATCAGCGCTAAAACGCCACTTGCCAAAAACGATATCAAGTCAGAAATTTGAGAAGTGAGCTAAGATTAAATGCGAAGCCGTTCTTTATTAAGGATTATCTTGATGGGACTCAATGGTCTTCATGTGGGGTTTCAGAGATGCCTGCCTGCAATTTAGAGTGAAGAGAGATCTGCACTGTCCTCCACTGCCAACAGGTTATCCACTCAGCCTCTCACACACATGAAAATAGACTCATATCCAAAATGTCTGATTCCTTTTTGGAGATAAGGAGCAGAGAGTTAGCACACACCTTACTGCAACCCTTACTACTTGGAAAGATTCAAACCCGGTACTTGTTGTTCTGCAGCTGAGATGCTTGAGAAAGAAAACACAAACAGTGTGAAAGGGGCAGGGAGGCAATGACAGGGGATCAAATGGTGCGGATGAAACAAAATGCTAACACCCCTGTGACACAGTTGCAATATTTTCATATGCATAAGCTGCAAATTTGTTTGGTTAGAACCACTACAGTGTTTATACAATGTCACACATCGGGGGGATCAGGTTCCCTTTTTTGACAGGGGTCTCAACAGAGCGTTACACCCCAAACCTTCCCCCAAGACAGGAAATCTGAACTTGGGATAACTTTGGATAAAATAACAGATTTTATGTATTTATACAAGCATTACCAGGTGAAGTGTTCACCTACTGACCAAGGAGAAAATACAAAAGGAAGAAAAAATCCTTGACTCCACAAACCCCCACCCTTCAGCCTTACCCCCGACACAAGTGGCACATTAAAATTTTCTAGATGGCAATTTGTCAAAAAACTCTTTAAGTGCCGTAAACTGGATATTTTTGAGTCGTTCAGTGTCCATAGAAAACAACCCAGTGACTAAATCCACCTAGGGATATTCAAGATTATTCAAAAACTTTCCAATCCTCCTTTGTTCCTGCTGCTTGTACAAAACACATAGCAACAATGAAAACTGAAGCAAAAACAAAAAAACAGCCAACAATATTTCGAGGTCCAAAGAAACATGCAACGTGCAACCTGAAGTTTAGTCTTTCAACATGCAGTCTCCATCACAATATGACATTAGCCCATCTATCTGCCAAGCTCTCATCAAACTCTGGAGAAAAAACTTTGATGATGACAAGTAATCATCACAAAAAAAAAGTTTGAAAGTGCAGACAGATAATTTTGAAGTCCCTCAAGGTAAATTAGTAGCGAGTCAAGTGCTTTCAAGTGGTGAATGAAAGTTACGAGTGAAGCCCAGATTCCTTATAAACAAACATCAGGTCGGCCTGCCTCACTGAGGAGCCGTGATGAAAGTAAATACAGCATACCTCGACATGAAAATACAGCGGAGCTTCCCTCCACATTGGGAAGAACAAAGGAAATGGTAAACCTCAGCGCACGTCACCGGCTTAAATTAACTGCGGGACCCTACTGTTGCAGGCACCTTGGTTCTGGACAAACAACAGAGAACATACTTTGAATCAAGTAAAATATCTATTAAACTGTTATTTAAGCAATCTTCTCTAAATAACTTCGCAAGACAGTTCTGCATGTTTGTACTTGTTCAGTAAAAAATCTAAAGAGTCTTTACAACGAGTGTTAAAGCAACGAAGTCCAAGCAGGCACATTTATTCCTGCATACACCATGAGAGACAAGTTATACTTTATGACCAGTGAGACACACCTGGAGAAAGTCTACAAGGACCCCCGAAAATCCTCAGACAGACACTTTATAGCTCTCAAATGGCCCCAAAAAAGCCAAACAAGCACACTTCAGAGACCTATTACTCAGAATGAGACATCACCATGGCTGGAAGTATCACTGAGGGCAATACACTCAGGATATATAGCCTGTTAACAGAAAACGAGAATAATAGAAGTAAATTCAGCTTAATAAGTCAAATACATAAGGTTAGCTTGATTTATTTTGAGATTTGACGGTCAAAAGCCATGATATGCACACACATACAGTATATTTAGATATATTTTTAAGATAATCATTGATAAATAAGCTACAATACTGTACAACACAACACAATAAGACTGGTAGAGAGACACAATTTCTGATACACAGAACAAAACATCCGGATGAGACCCAACAGGACCTAAAACTTTAAGATATGATAAAATATTTATGACACAACACAACACAATAACAATAATGTCAATATGGTGTTTCTACGCTCAAAAGGCAATCATGTTATGAACATATGATGAACTGAAATGAATAAAATGTCCCTAAAAAAATTAAAGAACTGAGTAAATGTCACCAGGGTTACTGCAAGGAGCCGTAAAGTTGTGATGCACTGAATCAAATAAAAAATCTGTTGAACCATTATGAAAATCTGTCAAACTTAGATTTTGTCACATGAGATCTAGTCCATAAGTTTTAGACTTTTTAAATCAAAATGTAAGAAATAATTTTGAGTATCTTCAGCTATTCTCCAGCCAGGCAGCTGATTAATGTATAAACTCTGCATCAACTCTTTTGAACAAAATGACAAAACTCTGTCTGGTTCATCTATCCTGTATAACACAAAGTGGATTGATGGTCTTTCTTCTTATTGAGTTTCCCTTTAGGGATCAATAAAGTTCTTCTTATCTTATCTTACTTACTCTGGATTCTGTTTTGAATGAGGCTTAGTGAACGGGTGCAGTTTGAAATTAAACAAAATGTTGTTTGTTTGATTAACATTTCATATTTCCTTTGCCCCACAGCTTGATGACTAAAAATCAGTTGTGACTAATTCCTGTGTAATGAAGCAAACCATCCTCTGTATTCACGCTCTTCTTTCAAATCTGTTAACTTCAACACACAGTAACTTTTGCAACTTTGCAGGAGAGGTGCTCTGAGATATGAAACTTTCTGTTAGCAGTCTGGTATACAGTTTAAAGACTGAGCTTCATCAGCAACGCCACTAAATCTAAGTCAGCTGCACCCTAAAATACCAATATGTTTGGTAATAAATTTTCAGCACCCCTCTAATGGCAGCATTTGTCAGGGCTGCCCCAACTGTCTAGGCTGGCTTCTGACTTGTGCGACCCAGGCGGCCAGAAATGTGGCACTCCCCGTCTCCTCCACAGCTGCCTGTGCAGTTGGGCCCAGGTCAGCAGAGTGCCGGGGGCCGGGCCGCTCATCAGCAGTCTTCAGTGGCTCTGGGCCTGTTAGGAAGGAGGGGCCAGTCATCTCACAGGGAACTTATGTTCAGCACACCAGCAAGTCCCAGTGGGTTAGAGTACAAAATGCAGAGGTTATAGACTTTTGCTCTGCAACCCCACCCCCTCAGGCTGCCTCCCCTGTTCCAGTTGCCCCCCGAGTCCCTCACTAAACCCCCACTAGTCCAGCCACTGTGACATTTGTGAAGCCAGGAGTCCACATAACAAAAACACATTAGGCAAATGTCTGGGGTCAAACGTCTGTTTGAATTGGCCAGATGAAAGCCACTTAGATTGGGTCTGTGCCATTCTGCTTAGCAACTAAATACAGTTACAAAAGAGGCAGAGCTGTGCAAGCCAGCGGTTTGTCTCACTGACAGAATATGCTACCACATTCAAGTTCTGGTCCTGTGTGTGCCAAAGGACGAATACAAGAGCTTTGACAAGGCTATTTAAGCATGTGGTGTTACAAATCAGCTTTACATCCTGCACAAAAATAACAGAAATAATATGGACAGCAAAATGATTTATATTTAACCTACGTGCACACATTTGTTCTGGAGGAGGCAAATGCAACTAAACGCAGTGGTATTAGCAGTGATGAATGGGCACTGCCATTGGACACCAGTTTTCAGTAATTTTTAACCCCTAAACAGCTGGGCTTATCAGGCACTTAAAAAAGACGAAGCTCAGATTATCCAGGCACCAAATGTCACTCGTTTTATAGAACAGCAGGAAACATGCTGAGCTGCACAATTTTTCACAGCCCAGAAGGCGGTGTGAACTATTAGCGGCTTGCTGAACTACAAGCTGCCTCCAATCATGCCGCAGTCAGACTTGAGGCATGACAAGAAGTTCGGAAATAACCAATGCTGTAATCGCAGTTTAAGACTATGCAAGGAGAGTGCTGACATTTATGCTAATACTTTGAACTGAACTACCTCTTGGTGACTTCTGTGCATGTGTCTGGTACTTGTCGCTGCCGTCATCATGAGTAACGGAGACAGCCTTTCATTTAGTGTTTTTACTACAGCACTCCTGCTGCACTATCAATAACCGGTGAGCAGGAAGAGCTGTCCATGTTTCTCTTTAAATGAAAAAGCAAAGATTACATCATCTAAACAAAAGAAACAATAACAGTGAATAAAAAACTAGGAGGAGACACCAACTAGAACAGTGTGGTAATGCAATTCCTCTTTCTTAAAGACATGAAATCTTGCAGCTTCCTGATGCAATTCATTCTAATAACATAAGATTGTGAAAGACATCAATAGAAATCTACTGGACTCACTGATATGTCAACTTCCCATGTTTGTTTCCTCTGTGTTTGGATCAGCAGAGGGACCGCTAAAAGGTGACTTCCTCCACAAGGAAATGGAATTTGAAATGCATTGCTCAAAGCACACACTCCTTCTGTACTGTGTGAAAAGATCTCTTCTGGCAAGAAATTTTTAAAAAATGAAGGAAAACAGTCTCATAATTTAATCTTTTAAAACTTAAACCCACAAGTCAGATGTACATTTGGTAAATGGAAAGACAAAATGTTGAGGTGAACTATTTCCCTCTTAAGTCCACTGTTTGAGTATATTCCTGTAAACCTTTTAACCTTTGCTATTGTAAAAGTGTATTTGTTGCAGAGCAGTGTTACTGGAATTCACTGCACTGTACAGGAAAAGGTGCACAACAGGAGTGTGGTAACTATGAGACTCTGATAGGTGAAAAACCACAACAGTAGACTTGAGAGTGAGCATGACGCTGGAAATGTATTGACATGTCAGATCTACGTGCATTAAAAAGCTCTAAAGATGGGAGTGATTGATTGTTAGTTAAGTTAATGTATCTAGTCCATAAACTAAATGGATTCCTATTGATATCTCACCTCTTTTAAAAGTCCATCTCATTCCATCTATTGTGAAACCTCTTTAAATATTATCTGTGGACTCAAAGGCTCTTCCTCTTCCTACATTCAGTTTTCAAGAAGCAATATTGATTACATTTTAAAACCGGGTTACAGAATTTAAACTGAACATTGAAAATGTTTTAGAAACAAGATAGAAGTATTCTAGTAACACGTGTACACAGACCACTGTGGATACGCAGCTAAAATACAGCAAAAGGTTAGGTTGAGTGAAGTTTAAGTGCAGCTGCCAAACGCCTCGAGGGAGATCTCTTCCTGAACTTTGTACTTGACACCTTTGATAATAGATCTCTTTTCAACTTCTGTGAATCACTGATAAATTACGACTTTAATAAGGAGGGTTCCCTGATTAGCCTTTTTTAAGACACACATAGTAAATGGAGACACGGTGAACTGACAGAGACCTCTGATGATGAACGAATGAATCATCAATACCAGCAGCTCCGCGCGTCTTTGCTAAAAACACAAGCTGAACCACAACAGAGAAATTCCGGCCATCCGGGGCAATGCTTCTGACTCCAAAACAAACATTACGTCCTGTTACAAGGATCCGCTTCTGGGTTTAGGTGAGAAAGCAGACAGTGGCAAAACAGAGGAGAAGAGTGTGAAGCCCTCTTCCTCTCGACTTTCTGACTCAATCCCTGCAGCCCCAGGTGTTTTTATTTTATTCTAAAAACATCCGCCAGATCTCGAGCTGCAGTCCATCAAAACCAGAGGAGAATTTTTTCCTTCTAAATAAATGAATCAAATTGTTGGTAATGCTTTCTGCGGTAACTAGTACAAGCTAGAAAGTCCTATATATAGCCCAGCAGCCTGCCATGGAAACAAACAACCGCCTAGCCCGGGATCAGTTACAGGAGTAGCAACTTTTTATAGGTCACCAAAACTTCCAGTTGCCTTGGAAACAATGTGGAAGAATAGCGCACTTTTGGACGCAGAACAGGTAATACTGGTCAGGGCAATCAGAGGACCGAGGGTATTGAATGGGAGTTATCAGAGAGCTGGACGGGGGTAATTGAGGGGTTTGCTCATTCACTGGCCTCGGACTGCTCTGTGAACGCTGCACCTGGCTGAAGCACCTTGAACAACTCACAATGGAAAGAAATGCCTGTTTGTTTCTTAAAGTCACAGGAAGTATCTGGTGGAAATCTGCCGAAGGGGTGGGACTAGAGGTTTGACAAAAGCTACAATCTGAATACGGAGTGACATTTTGACCTGGCAAAGACAGTTCACTCTGAAGCCAAGGTAAAGCAGAAAGTTAATGAGCCACTTTAACAACGATGTGTGCACAGCGCTAAGTTTGTTGCCTTTGCAATCAAACCCTCATCTCTTGCTCCGCAGTCTTTTGTGTTGTGTGTTCATAATAGGAACTTTCATGCTGTGTTTGTGAAATCTTAAAATTGGGGTAATCTCAGCCTCTTCATGAAGCCCTTAGTTTCCAGAGAGAAAACTGGACGACGTTTCCACCACATCCGGTTAAAAACTCTTCCACTACCTGTTACTAAATAATCCCAAAGACCGATCTATAGATCTGCATCCACACCGACTCTCAGAGCACCCTGGCTTGTCCATTGCATGATGACTATGCAATTTACAAAATTACAAGCTAGCTGAAACCCTGCCCTAAAGAAGCCCCAGACTCGGCCTGAATTATTAATTGACTATTGATGAAGGCCTGATAAATGCACTCGGCTCACCATCCCAATGACATTCTTGTCTCCTGCCCTGGGCCACTTACGCCGCTCTGCCAGTCCATGTGTTTCAGTCAGCTGATATAAAAGTTATGAAGAAGTGAAATGTGCTCATTTAAATCACAAAGGGTAATTGTTTTTAACAAAGTATCACCTTACACATCTCCACTGCGTCTGCTGCCTCTCTCTAGCCCGGGAACTCAAATAAACACACTTCCATGCCAGCTAATTACAGTTGCACACTGAGCGACAGTCGACAATCTTCCCCAATTCTGTTGGCTGGACACCAAAATCTTCTAATGTGCTCACACAAGGGGAATCAACATACCAACCTGACGGAAGTAAACAAACAACAGCCGTGGATTACAGGCATAAGTCTGATTACTTCTCTGCCTTTAGGTATTAATATCAAATCCACAAAGCTGTGAGAAACTGAAGAAAACTGAACTGTTAGGATGGATTCCGATTGCCATAACTGTGTTTTTCAGGCAAAGATATCAGGATAAAACTCATGCTCCCTCAATAGTATGCAGAGCACTCACATCTTGGTCTGATTTCGCAATATAATGCATATTATCAGGTGACAGTCAAGCCCTTCTTTCTGACCCCAGGGCCTGGTCGTCCATATCTCCACCACCATCACCTCTAGCAGCTGCACAGCACTTAATAAATTGCACCTTTAACAAAAGGAAAAGGTGATGAATTGAAAAATGTTTAGCCTGTCCATGCATTATTGATGCAGTCTCTCCCTCAAATCGGCCGCTGATAAATAATTAAAATTAATCTCATTACTGGAGTTTTCATTATGGGATAATTTAATTAAATGAAAGCCTGAGGACCTCAGAGGGCCTGGAGCCGCTAGGGGCCCCATGCCCTCCTCCTCTAATGGGTCGAGGACAGGAGAGTGCATTGGTAATGCACAGGAGCCCATACATTATTTAATGGATCCCACTAAGTAAGGACGGATCAATGATAACTTGTCATCTTGTCAATGTGTTGAAAGCATTCCAGATCCTGCAGCAGGACAAATCCCAAAACTGGAAAAAATAAAAATATCAGCACGTGCGCACACTCATTTGAGCAATGTCAGAGGATACTGCTATGAATATTCATAGTTTGTTCATAGTGCAATATAATACCCAGTAGAGGATGCCTGTGCTTTTTACTGATGGGAAAGCATTTCAGGGCAAAGAGTAAGACTTGACATCTGTTGCCTACTTTACAGCTTAGGTCAAATGTGCTTGAGTGAAAATAGTGAGGGGATCAAGGAGTTCATCCGATTCCAAACAATAAATGATATCAGAGTCAAATGGGAGCCATTAGAGACTTTCCTGGTGAATGAGTGGAGGGGCTGAAGAGGGCGAGGTTATCTGGGTTTGCACTTAAGGGCTCTAATTATCACACAGGAGCTAAGATGCACACATTGAGAAGAGTCAAGCTGCTGTAAGGCACACGGGCAGATTTCTCTGCTATTCTCACAAGCACAGAAATAAATGGCAGCTTCAGCTTTAAGAGGCAAATCTATAGAGTAAACACTAAAAAGCTGCATTTAGATCTCTGTTACTTTCCTATACATAGAAACCCAAAAGTCAGACCAGTATCTAATTTTCAACACAATTCAAGACTTTCTTTTTGTTAAGCATCAGAAATAATTTCAAGTTGAATTGTTCAAGCATCATGGTCTGTTGTCTAATACCAGTCTCCCACACAAAATAAAGCTTAGTTTGCTACCTATATGAAATAATGTGGGTCTTAGTTGACTGTTTCCCATTACAACATCAGTCGATGTGACAAGCAGCAGCCAGGTGATACATAAATTCACCTTTTGGATAGAAGAGCTATATGATTCAAATTAAATGAAAGCAATTATTAGGCTTAAACAACACAGTTTAAAGTGCATGATAATGGAAATCATATGTGACAGAGTGTTTCGAATCATGCATATGCATCCCAGCCCTGCATTTCAAAGAGGAAATCTTTAACATAAACATTAGCATTTTGTGAAAACAACTGAGTAATTAGTTTAGGGCATAATAAGCTGGAGGAGGCACACAATGAAAGAAAGCATTCTGGCTTTAAAATGAATAAAAATTGATTGTGTCCCAATAAAAAACGAATTGGCGGAGTGTTAACTGGATTCCACATAAACGTCTGTAGCAGTCCCTGGCCGCTTTATTGTGTGCTAATGCAATAGAGAACACTTAGCAATAAATGCTCCTCTCTGATGAGCTCACAGAGGCTTTCCAAGATGGCCTGATGAAATTGTAAAAATTAGATTTGAGCTAGCTGCTAATGACTCCTAAAACAAAGGAAAATCTCTAAATAGAATTAGCCTGCCCTCTTCTTCTCTAAATACATCATATGTAAATTACTGTCATTTGGAGAAATATGCTTGCCTGGAAGGTAAAGCCTTCATTAGAGATCTCTGTAGGTTTGGGACTTGAACAGGAACTCCTTCAGGACATTTAAAAAGTTTGAGTACTGAGAGAAGGTACAGGTATTGTTTACTCATGACAAGTGCAGAGATGTGACTAAGAAATCTATTTTTCATTATTAAACCAGATGGATTTTGTTCCAAAGCTGAGGGCAAAGATGAAAAAATGTGAAACAATCCTACGAGTATAATTCTATCGTCTCAATCCATATTGAGCTGTAGTTTTCTCTTGTTTAGTTGGTGCATTTCTCTTTTTTAAGACTGATTAAGAATAAAATGTTAAGTACTGGTGAGGTTGATGACTAAATTTTCAGTTTGGTAAGCAGAAAATAAGGTGGAAAAAAAGTGACACAGCTTAAAATTCAGTTACAACCATGGCAAACAACTGACTGAGATCACACCACATGAGCAAATCTAAAGACTCAAAAGCACTTACACAATTTCTACTGCCTTTCTTTGCCTCTCAAGAGATTTCCCACTTAACCACTCAATGACTACTCAAACTACCCTCTATTGTTTGTGCAGGTCAAGAAAACAGACATGTATGACAGCTCTAGAGGAATTATGCACCAATTAAACAGGATAAGTTGTGTTTGCAGGAGGTGCTCAACTGTTTCCTAATGCAAACACAGTCCTGCCAGTTGCCTAGCTTCAGGACACAGCCTCTGTGTATTCCTACCAGGTAGGTAATTCACTTATCTGGGCATTGTTCTCTGTTCATCCCTGTTTGAATCACTAGGCTTTGCTACAAGATTTGCCCAGCTTTAGGTAAAACCAGCCCCAAATATAAGCTCAGACCTCACAGGGTTTCCCAGAGTAAAACCACGGAGACGGTTTCAGGATGTTAAAAGCTGATAATAAGAAAAAAGAACTAAAATGCATTTATACAAAACATATACAAACAAACTGTCACCAATCTTGTGCATTGTCTTTGTGATAGTGAGTGAAAGCGGAACATCTGCTGATGCATTGTGCGCTGTGAATATTTGCTGGACACAGCTCTGTACGGCTGCAATTGAGACTTGTTCTGTGTGGTAGTAAGTCTGACAGGAGGATCACATATGGAGCTGCAAACAGACTGCAGCTGTGGGGTATTTCCACTGTCTATAAGCACCTATCTATTAATGGGCTTAACGCAACCCGTCAAACTGTTACTGCACATTTTTTTACACACGGACGCAACAGTTTTTTTTTTTTGTTTCGCCATGGGCCCACAGATGTTTAACAAATCAGGATTCCTGTTTGGGTGGTGTAGTTAATGGTTTAATAACTGAAAACAAAGCAAGAAAAATCTTAAACTCTGATGCAATCTTGACCTCCTTTGACACTTAAAAAAAAAAATAGAGCAAATAATTTATTTACATTAAAAAAAAAAATAAAGCAATATCCAAATACGATTTGTTCTGTAGGTGTCATGTTTATGCATGTGATGTTTACATGTCTTCTATATGTATGATGTATCGACATGGTTAATTGCTCCTGATGTTCTTGAAGGAGTCAGCGTATTACAGTAATTGAAAGTCCATACTGCGACAGAAATAACTGTTCTCACACAGGGGCCTAGACCCTCTGGTGCCTTTTGCTGTCTGTTGGCGAGAACTAAATATATTTTCTGCATTCTGAATGGCATTCCTCTCGAACGCGTACGTGCCAGGAGTTAACAGTGTATGAGAATAAATAGCTTTCTCAGCCAAGCCTCAAGACATGTCAAAGTTGGAGGCAAATCTATGATATTTATTTATTCGGTTGCTTGTTTATAAAAAATCCATACCATGTGAAATGAGCTGGTACAAAGAAGCATTCCAGGTAGTATCTTAATTTTTTTTTATCAGTTTAGATTAGTAATAAGTCAGATTAACTTGCATTCATACATATTGACAGAGTAATGACCCTTTTGGCAGAGCAGCAGGGCCTAATTTCTAAGGATCCAAACACTGAGCCAGAATTATGTCACTCTGACCACCTGTTCCCCTGAAAAACGTCACCGGCCTTAAGTAGTTCCGGCACTCATCCAAAATGTGAACTTCTGAACTGGAGTGCTTACTTTCTCATTTGTGTAGAAGCAGGAGGCGGTGGCGTGTAGCAACAGCCACTCTAATTTCGTGGCGGGAGAGGAAAGGTTTACATAAGGGATGTGCTGTTCTGTGCCTGTCACTCAACCCACCTCTGATTGGCAAATACAAGATTGAGGTTGATGCTGTTTCATGTCACCTAGGGGCTAATGAGAGATTAAACATTAGTGGCACAAATGCCAAATACAGTACCAGTAGACCTGCTTGGAGTAATTCTTGCATCTGTGGAAACGACACTGGGAGCGTTTCCTGATCGGCTGGGTGGAAATAGTACTCATAATTAGAAGCTTATTCATGCATTTTCTTTCTTGTTTTATAGAAAGCATCTGTGCAGATTAAAAAAACATGAATGACATATGTGGTAATTGTTCCAACCATTGCCCATTCACAATATCGACTCGAAATAGAAAAAGCAATCATCTCAGAAAAGACAGGCTTCATGTATTAATGATTGCTGCTGTATTAGTTTTGACAGAAGGTCACAAATATAATAGCTGAGCTCAACAGAACTAATCCTCTCTCTGTCAGGGGAAAACACTAAATGTTCTGCTGCTAACACTGTCTTTCTACAAGACCGGTTTGCATTGCAGGTGTAGCAGTACAGTATATTTCTTTTGGATCGGAAGAGCTCTAAAATAGCTGTGCAAGCATTTGTGGGCCACACACAGCTGTTGCTAGTGTGGTGCTGCTTACATCACTGGAGTTTATGCCAATTAGCTTTTCTCTCTATTTGAGGGCGTTCGTCATGAATTAATGACGCACATAAAAATAGAAGGCTGTTTAGCTGAGGACTTGCCCTGACTGGCAATAAAAGGGCCGACATAACAATAGATGGTTTGTTAAAAGGCATGACTGATAATAGATTATCATTTAACAGAAAGGTAATTGATCATTTTACATATAACATCAATTCAAGTTGCATATTTCAATACTCGGCTGATTCAACAAATCAAGATACTGACCACATGTTCCTGTTAAATAAAACAGGCTTGCTGAGGAAACCCGCCCAGCAAGTGGTCCATCGTGTGGAATAGGGAGACCACTGTACTGTGGTGGCCTTGATGAAATCCCCTCACACTAAAGCTGACGTGCTGACAGTGGGGATCAGGGTGGTCAGAGTTATTCCAGGGGTCCTGCCACTCAGCCCAGATCTGACCTGTACAAGAGGCTGATAAGCCACAGACACAGAGTGGCGGTCTCCACTCTGTAAACTACAACAAAACCTGAAGTAATGTTTCAATCTGAGAGCCAGGAGACAGAGACAGGCAGGCAGGCGACGGGCGGGCAGAAGAGGGCACTATTTTTCTTTACTGTATCACACACAGTACAGTAATATCACTGGAGTGGATAAGAAACTCAAGATGCAGAACTAATACCTCTAGTATAAATAGACCATGCTGCCATTAGCCTTTCAATTAACTATAACTGTTTATAATGCTTTTATATATCTTTATTTGTGTTGTTTTGGGTTGATATGCTGTTGTTTTATGTGGCACCTCAAATTACACTGAAAGATAAAGATATCCTTTAGCTGCTAACTCCTTAATATTTAAAAAAATAAAATAAAAAAAGATGTTAATAAAGTTTGTAACCATTTGAAAAATGATGTTTTTTGTGCTCTTAATGCAGTAAAAATCATTTGCGTTTTGTTGTTTTTTTTTCAAAACTTTGCTCTTAAATTTGAAATTGACATTCAAATGATATAGTAGACCTTTTAAATGAATGTATGAATTCTTATGTAAGGGGGGCAGTGCAGTTCTGTTCGAGTAAAGAGTGGTAGCCACATACCCCGCTCCATTTGCTCCATGTGTTAAGGTGTCTATCATGTGTGAAACAAGCTATTTTTCTTCAGCCGTGCCTTTTTGACTCGAATGACATAATGCTTTAGAGAGCGGGGTCTGCTGGTGGGGAACTTCCCCCGCTCTTACTTTTACACACCTTTATAAGAACAGCAGCCTTTCACACCGAGTTCAGCAGGAAGAAGTAGTAAAAAGAAATGGCCAAGACCTACAGTATTTCATAATTAATAGGTAGCAGTGCGGGGAGAACGGCGCACGCTGACGTAAAAAGATCAACAACGTATAAAAGTGATCATTCATTCTCAAGAAAATAATGGATAAAAAACCTGGTGCCAGATGTTATTCCTTCCACGAGAACAAAATAAAACAAATTTGAAATATGCATCAGCCGTTTTTTAATCTTTGATTGCTCTGCTTTATTTGGAAGTCCTACAGATCTGCTTCTCTGCTTGCCTATTGGATTTAATTTGTTTCTGAGGTGGTCCCTAGCTCATACAGGGTCACCACCTGCAAGCAGTACTGTAAATTACTTGGTGGGCCTAATTGTGCATGTCCGCTGTATCACTATAAACCACTAGTGCTGTGCTAACTCTATTGTCAGGTACTTAATCAAGGCCACCAGATTTATTTCCCTGCATTAACTCTGGGGACAGCCACAAGCAGAGCCCTGAGTAATCGGATCGTTTTTGCATCTAAAATTAACCACCAATTCTAAGTGAGGTTTGAAAATGATAACAATAATGATATCAGCTAATACCCAATGAGGCCTTGTCTTTCATTCTGGGAGTTGCATAATGTCTTCTAGGCCCAGATGTTGTTCAAGCTGACCTCACCTAGGGGGGTACGGTGCCATTATGCCAATCAAACACTGTAACACTTGATCAGTCACAGGCCTGAAGCAGACCGGAGGAACTCAATTATTCAGACTCTTACCTAGCACGTACACAGCAGCAGAAATGCACATTAAGGTTAGCCGAGAGCCTCCAGCGTGGACCTAATGAAGGAAGTGACAAGGGAGAGAAATTAATTACAACAGCTGCATTTATGGCAGGGAAACCTTACAGATACTTTCAACTTAATTCACTGTTTTCACTATTTTCAAGACAAATCAAGGAGTGATTGTTTGTTCAAGCAATTAGGGAACAACTGTTGTTGCCAGGCGGGAACTTCACACTTGCTCTGTTTCTCTAAAACAAAACAGTGTACTTTCTTAGTTTTTATACTACCTCTCGGTTGTCAGTCCACTTCAAATTTTTTGGTCTAATTTAATGATAATTATTAAAACATACTGTGCAGAGTAGACACATGAGTTGTCATGTACTTTAGTGTTTTAGTTGGCTTAATTTGTGTGCCACATTTGTGGAATTTTAGTGTCAGATATCACTCGTTAAAAAATGGTTAAAACAACTGTGACAGTGGTTGTAGTTTTGGATTAAACATGCCCGAAAAGGTGCCAAGTCTACATATGCTGACAAAAAATATAAAAAACAAATTGCACCTGCATACATGTCTAACAATAACCACAATCCTTCTCCTTATATTTTGTAACCTAAGAGACCCCCCCTATCTTTTTGGTAGGCATTTAACAAACTAAGCTGGCTGTAAAGACACTTGTGTACAGTGTATTAAATAAAACACATATTGCAAGTTGGTGTAGACATATTTTGAAAGGGAACCTCAGCACTTTTACATAATAGGAGACTACATTTAAACACAATAATCTGATTTAGATATGTTTTCCTTTCAATTTTCTTCATTCAGTGGCTGTATATATCAGTCTGTAATATAACCCCCTTTTGTCAATGTGAAGCAGTGTGCAGAGAGAGAGCAGGGAGAGCAGAGTGAGCACTGAGCATGCAGAGGGAATGCGGTCTGTGTTGGGATGTCAGAAGCATAATGGCCAGCTGAGTCATAGGTTATAAAAAGCTGTCATTAGGGATTTCTGTCCTCAGCAGCTCATCACACAGAGCTGTGAATTATTTATTACGCTGGAAACTCAAGTGGCCCGTTACTCAAGAGCGCCTGGTTTCCTGCACTTCCATTTCCTCGAGCTTGTTTAATAAAAGCATTTACTTGTTGTAATTAAAGTCCTTGAGAGGATGATGTATAAATAGGAATTGATTTTATTAATGTAAATACAGTGGCGATTATACTAATAGATATAAGAAAAATTAGAAACTAACAGTATAAGCCCCTGATGAGAGATTCGATCAAATGGAAGTGTACAATCCAAGCGTTTGTATAACAAGGGGTGGCTTTTTATCAACTTTGCCCTCAGTACAAATGACCAGCCAATTAGCACTCACATCACATTAATACATTTCTATTTATATATGATAAAAGGCCAGAGAGTTAACAATCAAACTTTAAAGAGAAAATTTCAGACTCCTTAATGTCATGGCAACCACACAGGTAAAAATTCACGCTCTAAAAATCCAAAGAACCTTTAAATCAGTTTCACTTCATTTTCCCCTCCTCCGTTTTTGATAGCAAAGTCAATGCAAATCAACTCAGGCATTTTTCCTCACTCTGTTTTGTTCTCAGTATATGAAAATGGTTAAAAATCCCATGGGTCAGTGAAAATGATCCCTCCACTCCAGTCGCCTGCTCTAAGTCAGCCAAAACATTCCAGACTTCAAAAGGCGGCTTTGCCTACCAGGGCCATTCGGTGTCCCAACCTCCATGGCCCAGGAGGACTTGGTTATTTGGACAAATTAATTTCTGTAGTCTGCCTGAGTTGCAAAAACAACCTCCTGCCTGACAGCAAATTAGTCTACCTGAAAAACCTTAAAATGCAGGAGGAAGAGGAAACTAAACAGCACAAAATTGATTTCTGTTTACAACCTGCCCTGCTGGGTTTGTGGGATTCTACATCTTATTGAAAGTGTATAAAAAGAATAAAAAATATAGCTGAATACATCTGTAAACCTATCTGTTGGCAGGTGAAGAGTTTCAATAGGCAACATCAGCTCGCAGGCTGTAAAACACACAGGCTGTGTACAGTACACAGCTGACAGACTGTGCACCATAAAACACACTGATGTTAAAGTTTAACAACTGTCAGGTGTGTTGAAAAAATTTATAAAAATTGAAATCACTTGAAGACTTACGCTTAAAAAACAAACGAGAGAGCACAGACTATGAAAAAGGGGAAGGAAAATGGTTACAGAGGGAAAATTATGCAAACAGATGAAGACAATCCAGAATTAATGGTCCGCAACATTTTCAGGCACTCAAAGAGCTGTCCAAGGACACCATAGGGGAGACTGCATGGCCCCAGTAATTGGAGGAGCATGTAACTTCAAAAGTGAGGAGAGCAGACTGGAGAGCTTTCATCTGAAGTCAAGTCTTAAAGAAAACGTGAAGCACATGTAGAGTACAGTAGGGAATCTGCTACATGTGTGAATGAAAATTGTTCACTTCATTGCTGCAGACATGATACACTGCAGTATTCCTGCTGTGCTACCACACTTTTAAAAGTGGAGGAAATTCAGACTTTGAATCCTCAGGTCACAGCTGTTGAAGCTCAGGTCAGACTGCAAATATGAAATGCAGCAGAAAGAGAAAAAACTGGGTCAAAACAAAACAAGACATTCCCAAATGCCAATAAAGATGCCTATAAAATATATCATTCAGAGGATGTGACATCACCCCTAGAAAAATAAAAAGCTTTAAAATGTAATGGCTATAAGTCACAATGGATGTGTCATTTATGAGGTTATGGATTCTTTTTTTTTTTTCATAAAAAATAAATGCTTTTTCCTCAGGCAGTCTAAGGACGGGAAAGGAAAACTGTGGCCTCATCAGATGAGAATTTAAACACATCATGCAAAAAGTGCTGGAATCTTTACAGTACTTAAAGAATTATTAGCCAAAGAAACAAAATTGTTCGCAAGAAAGTTACTTTTCAATCCATAACGCAAACTATTCTCATTTTTTGCAGTTTAAATGTGAAGATTTGTTGCTTTCTTTGTCTTATGTGGCAAAAAGGAAAATGTCTTTATTAAAACGAGATTCAACCTGGGCTAAGGATTATTGTGATAGGTGTTTTCTGGCATTTTATAAAGCAACTGGGTAACGTGAAAACAATCATAAGATTATTCTGCAATGACCACAATTCTTTGTGGCAGGTTACCCCATTTTGTGGGAATGTTTTACCTTAAGAAGTAAAAATAAATCTTTGTAGATACCTCCATCCCCTTGATCATGCATGTTCATTATCTGCGTACTTGCGTCTAAAATATAACACAGTATCTAATTTGGGTGATACTGGTGTATTATGAACAGTCTGATTACCAACATCAAGAGACGTTTAACTTGAAACTTGGATTAAAAAGATGAAGACTGTATGAGACTGAAAGATTAAATGTGCCCTGTTCTGCCTGTCAAACGTTGTGGTGACTTTACAACCTCAATATTCTGATCTCTGCACTGATCTAACTGCACAGATAAGGCAGCCTCTTAAACTTGTATTTTAAAATGAAATGATTTCTGATATTTGACAAACATCCAAACAGAGAACAACCATCTTTCACAGCTGATCCACTGTTCCTCAGAGCTGCGCTGCAACACTAACTACTTCTGCAACCTGGACTGTAATCATGATGGCATAACTTTGACATAACCTACACTTCTGTCTTGATGATGTGCTTCAGCTATACATCATGAAAATGAGTCCAAGTTGGGAGAAAATGAAGACAAACTGTATCATATTGGAATGGGAAAAGCAGAGGGGAACACAATCTTTCCAAGGTCCTTTGGTCTGAGGGAAGAACACCATGTGTGCTTGAGTCAATCCAACATACACCAACTAAGGAGAAAATGTCCATTTTTAACCTGCTATCCATCACTGTCAAGTGTGGTGCACAGTGAAAGAGGAAGTAATTAGACAGAAAAAATGACTGCAGCCTGAGGCAGAATGAATGAGAGAAAAACCCAGGTACAACTGATGTTAACTTAAGGCAAATGATATTTTGATAAATGTTCTGTGTGCAACTCCCACTACCTGTATGGACCTATTTTTGGGAGTGAAAGCATATTATTCTTAACAGTATACACTACTGAGGGGAAAATGAGAGACTTCACATGAGTTTCAGAGCTATAACTTGCAGGTGCACTAAAAAGTCTTAAAGTGGGTTTGTTTTGAGGGGACAATTTTGTCTCATTTTGGTAGACTGGTGTCACCCACTGGAAGGCTGGCACTGGCAAAATGTACAGTTTGCATCCCAAGCTAATCCCCTCTGTTGTAAGCTTAATAGTCTACGGTGGCCGAGAAGTGCTACTGCTGCAAATAAAAAAGAATGCAAAAAAATAATTGAAAAAGAGATTGAAAAAATTTAAAAAAGAGGCAGTGCAGATAAAAAAATAGGCACAATGGGAGTTAATGATGCAAAAAAATAAATAAAAATTACTTACTGCGAAAATAAAAGGGTACAAATAAAAAAAAGCCACAACGGAAGTGAGTTGCCAGGGACCAATAATGATGATGCACTGGTTTTTACGATCTAGGCACAGAAGACGACAGTGAGAAGATGAGCAAAGAAGTAAGTGGAAAGGTTATTGTTTAATTTCGTTTAGTGAACTTTTCAATGGGAGTTTGCATGTTCTCCCTGTATCTGCGTGGATTTACTGCGGGTACTCCAGTTTCCTCCCACATCCCAAAAACATGCAGAAGTGGGGTTAGGTTAATTGGCTGCTTTCAAATTGCCCATAGGTGTTGATGTGGGCGTGGATGGTTGTTCGTCTCTATATGTCAGCCCTGCGATGAACTGGCGACCTGTCCAGGGTGTCCCCTGCCTTCGCCCGAAGATGCTGGGATAGGCTCCAGCCCCCCTGCGACCCCCAACAGGAATAAGTGGTAGAAAATGGATGGATGGGACTTTTCAATGTGGCATTTGGTCAGGCTATGTTGCGCCTGAGTCGATATGAAGTTGAACTGGAGGATACCCAGGTAATATTAGCTTCAGTTCAACTTCATATGGACTCATGCGCTACATGGCCTAACCAAATGACACATTGAAAAGCACAGGAAGCGAAATTAAACAACAACTTTTCCACTAACTTCTTTGCCCGTCTTCTCGCCATTGTCATCTGTGCCTAGATGGTAAAACACCAGTGTGTCATCATTATTGGTCCCCGGCAGCTCACTTCCGTTGTGTTTTTTTTTTTTTAATTTGCATCCTTTTAATTTTTGCAGTAAGTAACTTTTTTTTTCTATCCCCAGTTTTTTTTGCGTTGTTCACTTCCGTTGTGGCTTTTTTTTATCTGCACCATTTCTTTTTTTTTTTAAATTTGCAGCAGGCTTCGGTTTATTTCATTTTTTGCATTAGTAACTTCTGTTGCAATTTTTTATTTATTTTTTCTATTTTTTTTATTTCTTGCAGCAGCAGCAGCAGCAGTGGCGGTTCTCGGCCACCGTAATAGCCTACTAAGAATAACATAAGTGTGAAGTAGGTTTTAGAAAACGAGATTAATTTCAGAAAATAATAACAGGCTACAAAACAAATTGCTCTTACACAGTTGTAACCTGTGCTTCTTTCTAATGTCTCACCTCGGATGGATACACAGTCTAAATGATTGATCACAGTTATAACTCATTTTCCCTCTCTCTGTTGCTGCTGTCTCCGCCCAATATGGGAGCAGCTCCGCACCACGCTGTCAATTTACAACTTCAACAAAAATAAATGCAAAGGTGCGATATAACTTAGGAGCAAGACAAACAGAGAGAGTGACAGAAGAGTTGACCAAACACAAATACACTGGCCCCATTAATGCCTACCTACCTGTATCACCGCTGTCACCACATGCAACAAGTCTGTCCGTCCAGAAACCTGACTTTCACGCCTTCTAACACGGAGACTTCTGTGTCTTCTTCCTCCTTCACTCGCTGAAAAATGTTATTCTAACAAAGACAGAAATAAACACCGACAGCAACGTGAAATAACAACATTTTCGACGGCCAACAGAAAGTTTCAGGCGCTCGCTACGGAGTCGGAAGGTTACAGTGAAGTGACAAGATAACTCCGCGTGCGCGTGTGTGCGCGCGCTGCCCACTGGTATCAAATGTTTGAGGCAGAAGGAATCACAGATTTAACACGCTACAGCTGTTTGTTATTCACTGTTGTTGCGTACTGCTGTTTCAGCTGTATGATAAAGCCTAAACTCTTTACATAGTCGTTTATTCAAGAAGGTAAATTAAATATCTATTCAGTCTCTTAAAATATGAGTTAATATCTCTTTAACATATTTTTTCCAGCAAATCTTTAACATGCTGAGTTCTTATGGCCCTTAAATTTAGTGAGACTTCATCCTTTTATGTTTTGTTTTTTTTAATATGAACTACAGCGCCACCCATGGTCCAACCTAGGAAGATCTCTGCAGGAATCCCTTAAAATATCACATTTTATATGCTTAGATTGTCTGTTTTTCGATGTTATCAAGCAAATGCCAGATATTATGGGTTGTGAAATTATATCTGAAATTGCACATGAGGAAAATTCAAGTTTGATTTAGGGGATTCAATCTATTTCCTGGACATTTTCTACTCTGTGATATTGTTGTTGTTTTTCTTCTCCACCATTTCTGAGCCACTTCAAATATCAAAATCAATCCTAGCCATAAGTGGAAAGCAAATACGATCAATATCAGTTGTTGTGTATAATTACAATGATATCTCTTTTTCGAAGCCATGCCTGGTGTCTGAGATTTTGATATAACCAGATCCACTATAACACAAAAGCATCCGATCTTTTAACACACACTTGCACGAGTATTTTTAGCACTTGAAGACAGTTTGAGCTTTGAATTAATGTAACATCCACACTTGAATGCGAATGGCTCCACATTGTAAAGCAATAGTCATTCTACTTCTTCCATAAAATCGGCTCATCGGACTGGATGATTGGATGGACAGCGGTTAACAGCCTTCAGTAATACATCACAAGACAATTCTGATGATTTGTTGCATCAATTGACTCTTCCGGTAATCAAATTTGGGTTGGAAAATGCACTCATCCAAAGGTTCCAGTCCAGGCCTTCATTTCCACAAAACAGCCCACACACCTTCAGATAAAGGGGTTCGAGTGGATGCGAAGCACCACATATCCTTGAGAGCATTTTTTAATTTCTTGGTGCTCCATCTGTTGAAATGATAAAGTGCAGCCATAATGGAGTGCAACAAGATTAAATTAATCAGGTTTGTCCATTACACTGCCGCAGGCTCTTCACAGATGATTGCAATTTTCTCTGTCAGGCCCATTATTGTAAGATCTGTTTAGTGGCTTGATGCAATTAAAATGGACTTAATGTAAATTTAACAATACAAATAACACTTCTGTCTGTGTATGTTTGAGAGGGGAGCGGCTAGAGGGTCCTGAAGTGCAACAGTAAACACCCACTGTAACCATTTTTAACTTCAAACAAACCAGGGTGCTATTTGATTAGCGCGGACGCTGTGATCAATAACTATGTTTCATGTTTTCATGTTCTCTGTGATGTCAAAGGATCCGGTTGCACAGACCACCCTTGTCTGGACATGGGCAGTAAGGAACACAACACCTTCCACAAGCGTATCATGATGTCCATAGATCATTTGAACCTGCAGAGGAGGGGGGGAGTTTAATGGAGTCGCTCTGATGAAAGCATGTAAAGTGCACGCCTTCACTCTTGTGTATGAATCTCAGGGTTCACTTCAGTAGGTGAGGCATACTTGAGAGAATTTTTTTATTAATTTTTCCCGGAGCTGATCTAATATTTTCCTGATTGGTTGCTTCCTCCTGCTGGATCAGGTCACTGCCAAGGGACAAAGCCTACAGGATGTGTGCTTAACAGGAGGAGATCTCGGCCTAGCTCCACAAAGCTCCCAACGCCACTTAAACACGGGAACGGCGGAACTGTCACGCTAAAAATGTCAGATGATTTCTATTCTCAGCACCTCTATAATTTTTGATTTATGCCACACAGTAAAATAAAACAATGCTCCAATGCTTTTTTCTGCATGAAGATTCTCCCACACTCTTGAGGACTGGGATTTTGGTGGTATGGGGCATTTTTCATCGAGCTATCTGGAACCTCTGAGCCACATCTGTTTTAGGTGATTTCACTGGATTTGAGGCGGCTGAGCTGTAGGTTATTGTGGCTAAATGAAGAATTACCATAACCAATCAGACAATGCACTTTATTACATTATATGCTGCATTTCACATTGGGGTCAGGTGTTTTGTATTAGCCTCCTATCACATTACAAGCAAGCGAAATAACCCACACCTGGAGAAAAGTGCATATTTTCTCTGATCCAAAAAGGAAAAGATTGTTTTTTTTTAATTAATATTAGTTTTTCTATTTTTTTTCTACACTTGTCTCAAATCACACAATCAGATTTTAATACCTGTATGCAGCCCAGGTAACCTGAGGAGGTATGCACAGTGTTTGTTAGAGGCACCTTTCACACGAGGTGCATTCCAGTGGTCATGGCAGGCCAACAACAAGTCAATCAATCACATTCTGTCCTACAGTAACACAGGAGGTGTCATCCTATCTCTTTTGTTAGCCACAGGGACATCAGCGATAGGCAGACAGAGAAGCAAGACAACAAATCATTTTTGAACAGCTAAGGACACAGAGGACAATGAACACCTCCAAAAATCAGAATATGTAGTTCAGTGCAATATTACAATAACAGAAACAAGATTTTTTAATTATGTTTGACACGACATGATAACTTCAATGATCCCTTGGAAAGAGGCCTATATTAGAAGACTACTTATTGTGTTTCTAAACTAGCTCTCATCAAAAATATTTCTTAATTTTTAATATTTGATATCGATTTTTTGGATTTCGATAGGGTGTCTGCCAGGTTCTGTAAGATCAAAGATCAATCCTATAAAGAGGGATACTTTAAAACCCTCAGAGCAGGTTTCACACCACAGGATAATCAGACCAACTCTGAGCCTGGCTGCACCAATCTGAAACCATAAATATCAAACACATCCCATACTTAGAAACAGACACAGCAATAGTGACAATAGTGAAGGCAAGAAAAAAGTCAGATGGACGTCAGTAATGGAGGACCAAGTTCAATTTGTGGCAACAACACTACTGTTAATACAACATGTCTGTGTAACATAACACAATCAACTAGACCTGTCTTTTAAGATTGTAAAAATTTGTTGATGTGTAACAGGCTGAAAGAGTCAGGTTGTATAACTGGGAATATTTAGCCATACCAAGAGGTCAGATTCTATTAAAACACTCTTTAGCTCATCTCCCCCATTCGCCTACTTCCTGAATCATGCCCACAAGCCTAAACTGTCAATGTTGCACTAAAGACCAAGTGTTAAAGCTCTTAAAGTTATTTGGACTTCAACAAAATAAATAAATACAAATTACAGTGTTATAGAGCAGTTCAATGTATTTGTGGTGTAGCTTAAGTTTTATGATTTCAGAGAACTACATAAAATGTTAATCAACTGCAGCTCTAAAACCTTGTGTCCTTTAATTATCAATTACCATCTGCGGTCATTGATTTTGTTTGATTTGCTGACATTCTGCCCAAATATCCAAATAGAATAACAACTGAAATGCTTTGATTTATTACTCTGGTGGTATACGCCCTAAAGGGGAAGCCTGACTGGTTGCCAAATCAAATACCCCAGCAGGTATGCAGAACCCCAAAAAATGCACTTCAATCTGTCCTCTATCAGCGGTTAACTTTGGAGAGGAAGTGCGGCCAATGTTTGAGAGCGGAGCGCAAAATAATGAGCCGTCCACTCCAAAAAAATGTTTAATACAATCACACAAGCACCAGAACCAAATGCCAAAATCTCCCTCAAAAAGGGCTTAAGAAGGCCGGGTCCGGTGGGACAACATAAAGTATGGGAAATTTGTAGCTGGGGGAAACACTCCAAAACTGCCCGGTACAATTACACTGTATGTGTGGATCTTTTTAAATATGTGATGAAGAAAGCTGGCGACGAATGCAAGACCTCTCCTTTGCCTTTTACTCAGTCAGAATGGTTTATGGGGTTCTGTGTCTGACTGAAAAAGGCATCTCAGCCTCACCAAAGTTGCCTTTTTTTATTATATGGAGCCATGTTAGTTTTTAAAGTAACATATCTCCTTGCAAAAATCTCTTCGTGTTGCAATATCCTCTCTATTTTGCAAGAAATAATGTGTGAAAGTAAAGAATATCATGAGAAATACCAGAGTGAGGCTACCTTATTGGCTTGTCTTGGATGTAATATAATTTGACTGATGTGCCATCTGCAACCAAGCTCTTAAATCTCACTCTGTTTCTTCATACTGACACCATTTCTGCCAGGATTGCCAGTGGTTTTATGTAATAAACTACTCGATGTTCAGAAAGGAGTACTTCTTTTAAAAACATTATACATTTATAGAACGAGGCTGGCAGACTGCGTTTTTGCTTTAAAAGCATGTATGTGCACACTGTCACTCATAGGTGCTATCATGGCACTTTCGATCAGAGGGTAGGGTTTCATGATGATGCAATAATTTTCTTTTAGGAGGAAAAGTCTCATTGGATTTGTAAAGCATCCACCCTGCTGTTTTTTTCATAAAGACAAAGTAACCTATGACAGAAAAACAGGCCACAGCACATATGGTGGAGCTGACTTTATAATAAACCTTCACCAGGGCTTGAATGTATTGAAAACATCTATATCCTGACGCGGGGAACACTTATTGAGTAAAAATGTGTTTGCCTCGTAGCAATAGGTCAGCAATAGGTGTGGTTGAGTCCGCAGACGGATAGTGATCATGTGGATTAAACTGCATTTAGCCACACTTGTCTCATGGGATTTTTCCTTGGCTACATGCAGGCAGACGCTGAGCCAAAGCCCAGCTCAGTATTTTGACAGCAGAGCCAGAAAAAACAAAAGTGTTTTGCTTTTCCGTTAAAGAAAAACCGAGGCAGAAAGAAATGAAGATGTAGTGGAGAGAAACGGTAGTCCCCTCAGCCACTGCCTTACTCAATCCATATGCAAGGCTTAGAGGCA